AAACAGCATAAACACATCTGAAAACATTACATAGCTGCTAACATAGATAGGGAAACAATCCAATAGACTAAACGAAATAATATAAATTTCATAATTGTTGCATAATGTACTTAATATTTTACATATAGGAAATTTTAGGGATTTTTATACTCATCGAAATAGAAAACTACACCATTTATGATTGACATTAAACATACTTGAAATGTTATGCATTATATTTACTTATAATTTCAAATATTATTAGGCATTTAATTCATCAATAGTTAAGAGTTTTTTTTAATTCATTTTGAAAGACTTCTGAATTTAAAAAATCTGAACATTTTAGAACAAAAAAAGTTTTGAACTGATTTCAATAAATGAGGTTTGCTTCCTTATGCATTAGTAATACTTACTTAAATATTCTATCAAGCAAGTGATAGTCTATACAAAAATTCTATTTCAATAGGGATTTTTTTTAGAAAACTTACTCAATTTTAGAGAGTTTACTGAAATGTACAAAAACTAGGTTAATTTTAATAAAACCAGTAGAAAATGGGAAAATTCAGTAGAGTTGGCAGCTATGCAATTATATTTTTAGGTCAAGAAATAATGATAACCATGAATGCATTTTATTCGAGGAACTAATTCATGTTACCAATAAAATTTGTTTTTAAAAATAAAACATATAAACTGACCAATATATAATATGCTTAATTATATTAACCAATTCAGCTCCATAGCTTCTAAGATACAAACCATAAAAATAAACCTCAAAACAAACAAAGAAAATGAAACATTTACATAAGTTAAAGAAAAAAATATTAAAATTCTTTGTAAAAGAATATCCACATCTTTAAAATATCATAAAACTATCCATAAAAAGTGTTTTTGGGAAGATTTCTCAACAAAAAAAAAGGATCTTTCATCATTATAAAAAAAAAATAATAAATGTATGAAAAAGAAAATACTTGAAAATTTTTTTTAACTAGCCTTTATTTGAATTCATGAAAATGAAATCTTACAATTAAAAAATAATTATATGTAATGTAGAGAATATATATATTTAATCAAGTTAGACACTCCTTTCATTTTTTAATTCATTGTACTTAAATAATCAAAATTCTGAAATGACTAGCAACAATTCTCATGTTTTAAATTTTATAAACAACAAAAATTAAATCAATTTGACAACTTGTAGAGGGTATAGAGAAAAAGAGCAACATTTAAACATAAGAAATATTTATCACAGGGTGCGTAGCCAAATTATTCAACAAAAAATAAGCATTTAAAAAATATTTTTAAGCACTTTAAAAAAATATCATAATTAGGCAGGGTTGGAAAGTTTTTGACAATTGACGGTTTTATTTTGTTTTAAGCGTCATGTAAAAAAAAAACTTTTACCATTGTTTTCGACAATAATCATGAAATTTTAAATCATGTAAAACGAATGGCGTTTTCATATGTTACGGACTGACAATATGCCGAAGTAGATTGGGGTTGAGTTAATTCTGAAAACGTTGAATAGAACAATGTGAACTGTGTCTTTTTGCATAATTCGTAGAGAAAATCAGCATGGTGAAGGAAAAATATCATTTTGAAAAAGGGAAAATTAAGCACTCCCAATGAAAAAAGCACCTTTAAGGGCTTTTAAAAAATGAAAATAAGCACCTTTAAGCACTTTTTAAACACGATACGCACCCTGTTATCAATATATAAGTTAAATCTGTTTATTTCAGGGGTCTCATACCTTTTAAAATGATCAAAATTAGAGTTTTCTTTCAATTTTTAGCTCTTAGGTTTATAAAATACTTAAATAAAAATTTATCAATTAATAGAGGTCTTTTACTGGGTCTTATTTAACCTAAGTCCAAAGTTTCACAGGCAAGCCGGGTCCTTTTAAGAAAAAAATGAAGTTTTAAAAAGTAAAAATATGAGAAAAGTCATAAAAATGTGCATTATAAAAAATGATAAAAATCTGCTTTTAAATGATAAAAATGCACTTTTAACCTGTAATTTACTGTCAAATTTACGAACTTAGAACAACTAAATTAAGAAGCTTAGATTGTGTTACTATACTTATTATTAAAACTTTAATTTAAAAATAATTAACGAGAAAAGTACTTCAGAATCTTTCAATAAAAATTATTTACTGACGAAAGTTGAAACTGCAACGCACAAAATCAAGAGCTAGCGAAATTTAAGAACATTTGTTCATAATCATTTCTTTCCAACCTTTAAAGGGTGACAAATGTGTTAATTGCATTTATCGCTTTTCTTAATAATTGTATTTCTCATCTTTTATTCTTATGTACTAAAATAATAATCAGATGAAATCCTCCTGCAAAAAAACTACAAACAGAAAATTAAGTTGCAATAAGAAGAAAAATAAAAAACATAGTTGAAAAACAACTCTCACTTTTTTGAATTATGACATCGTGGCAAAGCTTAAATAACAAAGACACAAAGCAGATTTTTCTTTTTTTAAAGGATATGTATAATTTGCACTGAATCACTACTTTTTCATTCTATAATTATCCTCTGAATGTTTTGCTTTTTACAAAATAGCTTTTTTTCAAATAAGATTTCTTTATAGCAAATTAACTTCACAAAATAATTTACTTTTAGACATTACAATTGCTTTAAAAACAAAGTTAAGCTTCTTTTTTTTTGCAATACTATGTAAAAATAAACTACTACTAGCATTAACTAGAATTTTTATCCATTGTATTTACAGGGTATCTGCTACATTTTAGATTTTCAAATTCAGGACTTTAAAGACTAATTCCAAAAAATTTAAAAAACACAATAATAAATTTAAAAAAGTATAATAACATTAATTGAAATGATAGGTATAACCAAAACAGTTATACTCTGAATCTTCATATTTCTAGATTTTAAATTTAAAAAACAGAGTAAAGAAAGAGTTGTAGCAATAAAATTGCTGAAAGAAATACAATAGCTAATTTTTTTTTCTTCTTTTTTTCGGCAGAATTATATTCTAAAGATACTTTTCTTGTACATCAGAAAGGAAAGAAATACTAATGATTTTTCTGTTCTCATTGCGGAATAAAAAAAATTGGCCAATGACTGGCTTGCTTCAGCTAAAATTTTAAATTGATAAAATAAAAAATTCTGAAATCATAGAAGTTTAAAAGATAATACCCTCTAGAAATTATGTTTTTTCTTTTATTTTTTGAAAAACATCTATATGACATAATAAAACATTTTATATTTTAATAAAATATTACTGTGAGCGGGGATTTTATTACAAATTCAGATATTCGAAACACCATAAAATTGGGGGGGGGGATTCCATTTTAAAAATTAGATTTTTCGGCACCTAAATCCATGATTTTTTCTTAAAAAATAGTTTAAATCATGACATTTAATGACAAATTTTGTTCAATGCCCAAACTCAAGACTTTCCATGATTTTTCGGCTGCATAGATGCCCTGTTTATAGAAAATTAACTTCAGTCACCATACTTTCGCAAAATAACTTGCTTTTAGACATTACAATTGCCTTCAAAACAAAGTTAAGCTTTTTAAAATGAACCACTAGTATTTTTAAAATGAACCACTAGTATTAACCAGAATTTTTATTCATTGTATTTAGAAATCTGGAAATGAAATACAATAATGGTTTAGTAACACTGATTGTGTGAATGTAGTGATCACAAAAAGTAGGAACACACCTTTGGGGTCACAAAAAAATAAAACTTAAGGAATCACTTTAGTGTTCTAATTCATTTGTACCATGAGATGCATAGATTTTTTTTTGTATTGAACATTTCAATTTGCCGGCGGCATTCAACGAATCCTGTACCAAACTATTAAATAAAAATTTGCATCATATGAAAATATCAGTGAGATAAAAAATCAAGCATAGTGTTTGCGCCATACAGCAGCAATAACCTAGTTGCACAATTTATAAAAATGTGTAACCACTTTTTTTTTCTTCAGAAAATGTTAATCAAACTGATTTCCTTTAAATTAATACTTTTTAAAGTGAATTCATTTCTAAAACAGTAGCTGAAGTAATTAATACAACGTAAGCTTAGTATACTGCTATGCGATAGAAAAATCAACATAAGTGTAAAAATTCAAAATTGAGATTTTTATATACTTGACATTACTGCTGATAAGCTATTTATCACAAGGAAATGCTTTATTTAATCTTATTTTTCTATTACTGTGTAGGCAGATTTTTATACAAAAAATAAGCACCTTTTAAGTATTCTTTAAGCACTTAGTAAATATTTTTAATCACTTTCCATAAACAAAGAAAAAATCACAATTAGGATCAGTGTTGCAATAAAAAAAATAATTTCTACATTGCTTAAAATCCTTAATTTATAAACATAAAATCATTACAATTCAAAAACATTTTCAAAAACTTTACATAATCATGATGACATAACTAGTTTATAATAAATATTGCAGAGAAAATTGTGAAAAATCATGCATTTTTTGTAATTACGAACGAGAATGGATATGGCAAAGAAAAAAAAAATCTTCTTAAAAGAGAAATAGTTTTCAAGCTACTTTTCTCAAAATCCATTATGAAGCACGCTATTTTTTTTTAAAAAAAAAAATGCATGGCAGGATAATAATTTATGCTCAGTTTTTAGTTTAGCTATTACTTAAAACTTATAGATTCAGCACATAAAATATTACTCTTATTCTGCAATACATCTGATTCAGAAAATTCAGTGATCAAAATAAGAAATTAATTATGGCAGTTTTCAATGAACGAATAGCCTGAAGAACAATCAATTCTTATTCAGCCTAAACTATAAAGTAATTAAGAAGCTTCATACCTGCTTTTTTAGAGCATTTCCTTTTTTTAAACAAGTATGAATCCCCTTAAAAAAGTCAAAAACATTATTGAGGAACTTTCATAGACTCAAGTAAAGGTAAAAGTTTTGATTTAAGTACAAATATACATGACTAAATACATACAAAAAATTTACCAAAGCATTTGATAATTACAATTTTTTGTTTGCTGGAATTCAATAATTATTTCTATAAAATGATTTATTTGGTACAAATGGTGAGCATAACACTATTTTCTATAAACATTCCGTTAAAGAACAGTTTTAAAGATAGGTAAGCAAATTCATAGCAGTAGACAGTGATGAAAAGGATAAGAGTTTTCATCTGAGCCACAACTTTAACCGCAAGGCATCAACTCCGTTTAGATAGTATCTAAACAGTCTTTTGTCACGAACAAATCCTAAATTTTCATAAAGTTTGAGGGCTGGTCTGTTAGTAATCTCAGTTTCTAAAACAACCTAAAAATCAATATAAAAAAAATTAGTATTAGTAAAATAATATGCACAAAAACTATTTCTAAAAATGTATAGTAAAAAATATGATTTTAGATTATTAATTATAAAATCTATTAAAATGTGTTCCCCAAAAAATTCTTCGAAAAATTATTCTCCAAATAATACTTTCCCGAATATTTGGTCAAATATTCCGCAAAAGGGCTGAATACGGAATAGTGGCTAAATATTCGTTACATCCCTATATACAAACTAGCAATAAATTATTGAAGAAAAAATTTTTTAATTATTAAATGAAATATCAGAAGTTTTAACTAAAGCATAAAAAATAAATATCACAAATTTTAACTAAAGCATAAAAATATATATAATGCAAGTATAATGATTGGGGAAAAAAGTTCCAATAAATTATTCATGTCAAAAAACATTAAGCATAAAAATATTTTACTAAACAAAAATTGAGTGAAAATAAAACTAAAATAAAAAAACTTATCATGAAATAATACAAACCTCATCAGCATTGTCTTCAACCATAGCGTGAATTGCTTTTAGTACTAAATTTGATCCTATAAAGATAAGTAAATACAAGATCATTAAAAGTACATAAAAAATAATAATAAATATGTAATGCAGTCATAATAAAGAATATTAATAAATAAGTAATTAATTAATAGATTAATTAATAATAAATAGGTAATGCAATAATAAATGCAATTACCTAAGGATTAATAATTACTCTTCTATTTGAAAAAAACTTTTAATGTTTGATTAATTTGGTTATGAAATTACATAATTCGTATCTTTTTTGTCATATTTTAAACAATAATAAAAGAAAGTTATTTAACAATAAGAACCATTGTTAATAGACATAAGAAAACAAAATTTTAAAACTTAAGAGCAAATTTATGACTCTTATTATTATTGAGATAAAGTTTAAATAATCTAATTACAAGTATTCAAATAGTTATGAATATTTTTTGTTTTCATTTAATACATTCATTTATGAATACATTTGTATTAATACATTTTGTTCCAACTATAGTTTCAAAGAAATCAAAATATTAATTTTGAAAGGTAAAATGAATAGATAGGAAAAAAAATTTATTTCTTTATCTTTTAAATTTTTCATTGGAAATTAACTTAGCATTTTTCTGTTCTTTTTTTTTTATTCTTATTAGGACAAAAATTATTTAGAATGTTAACACTTAGTTTAAGTTATAATTTTAACAACATTATATCTGAATTTTGCAATTTTCCTTCTCATTTTTTTTTTTAAATTGTGAGTATAAATAAGATTTTGGTTACTTAATTATGTATTACAGGAATTTGCAATTTCAGTTTTAATTATTTGTTTATATTTCTTAATTTCAGATTAATTGTATAAATATAAGTATAAATAAAGATAGATAAAGAATAAAACTTCCACTCAAGTAAAAAGTTAACAGAAATTTTACTGGTCCGCTTGGATGGAAAGCTTTACTGGACTCAGGCAAAAGATGTACAAAAATTGAAAATATGCATAATTTAAAAATTTCCACCAGGGTCACTTCCTAACCATTTCTAAACTATAAACAATTTAGATGAAATATACAAATATTTTAAAATGTAAAAGAAACAACATTATGTTCTTCAAATTATTATAGAGCAACTGGTGCAATTAAGAAAAAAATGGTTCATGAAATTAAAAAAATAATTGTGTTTTTCCAATTAATTGTAATAGCTGTTCCTTTGTGTAATTACTGCCCCTGTATTCATAAATGCATTTTAAAAATACAAACAAGAGTTAAAATATTAAATATTATTTAAAATGTTTTCCTATACTTATTGGTTTTTTGATTCATAGCAAAAAGATTAAATAGTTTCTTTGTGTTTAAGTGAGGAGACAGTAATTACATCTTTCATGCAATTACACTTTAAAGCTGTCACTAAATTTTTATTTTTAAAGTTTTATTCGTGGCTAGCCATTAATTTCTATACTGAAAGGCATGGTCTTAATGTTAAAGTTATCAACATTAGTTAATTAACCCCCTGACATACGAAGACCTCTGGGAGACGTCATTTATTTCTTATGTCATAGCAATAATTGACGTGTCTAAGACGTCTTCAGCACAGAGATGCCAACTTGCCCCGGACAGCAAATAAATATTTTAAAGTGGTAGTTTATCAATTGTGATTCCTGGTTTAATAAATTCAATTTAGTAGATTTTTATCCACCATTATTTCTAAATAATTCGTAGGCTTACATAATTCGCCACTTTATAGTAGTTATGTCATGCTATACTCTTAAAAAGCAAGTAAAAATAGTTAAATATTTGCAAAATTTAGTTTGTAGTTATATACCATTTTTTATTATTTTGACGTGTCCGGAGCAGTTTGCATTTCTGTCAACATTCCGTTGCGAGTTGCTGTTTACAGTGCAATCAAAGATCATTTCTATATCAAGAAATGATATGTCAAGGGGTTAAGAGATGAACTTTTCCAAATTGTTTTAGGCAAAAGTTAAAATTTTAAGAAAACTCCCCTAAAATATGGAATTTTTAAAACATTTCTTGAAATTAAGAGTAACTTAAGAAAAGGTGCTCACCAATTTTCTTTTTTCTATATTTTTTATCGACTGCTAGCATTGCAATGTAACCTCTTCGACTATGTTTTTTATGTACGTCTAGCTTGCACACAATGGCTCCCACACATTGTTCACCATATTGAGCCTTATGAAATAAAAACAACTTGTTAAAAAAAAACATTTACAAAAATTTTAAAAACACACAGATTCACTACTTCATGAAACAGAGTTACTATAACACCATGTGTACCACCGAACCAAGAGCAGTGGTCATAAAAACTACCTTATTTTTGTAGTTAACTACAACTACTTATGAACTATAGTCACCTCACTACTTTTCCGAGATGAAGTTCACCAGAGAATTTAGTGTACACTAATGTTCAAAATTGTTTTGAATAAAACAAAATTGGGTTATTTAAAGATGAGGAATTATTACGAAATATTTCGCTCATCTTTACATGTGCTAATTTGTTATTACAAATCAAATCTCGACAGCAAATATTTAATTTCAGGAATGTTTGGAAATTATCAAATATTTGCGATTTTTTGTAACTAACACTTTATTTCTTCCAGAACTCAAAATTTTCTTTTAGGACTGAAAGAACATTGAAAATTAAAGAGAAAATATGTGCTCTTCCCTTGAAATAATATCAATGCTTCAAGAGTGTACATTAAGAGTCACAAGTACATCACAAATGTACAAGGGGGAAGTACGAGTATACAGTGCACAGAAAAATAAACGGATCACCTTAATGGTTCGAAGGGATGACCACAAGTCTGCAAATCAATAAGAGCAGACGATAATTTAAGTTATGAAATCAGACACAAATATGTACTTTTCCTAAATAATATACCTTCCTAAATATATACCTTTCTTTCAAAGGATTCTGATTTCTGAGGCTCAAAATATACAGGAGGAACTGCAATTTGGGAAATACGGTCCTAGTAGTTTCGTCAGGACAGGAGTCCAAAGTTTTTTGTGTGTTATTTAAATTTTTTGCACATTTCGCTGTATCCCGGGAACTACTTAAGCAAATTTAAAAATTTTTGCACACAATTATAAAATTCATTTGTCCAAAGAAAATTCCGTACAAAAAATTATTTTTAGTAAATATTTATTATTTAATAATAGATGAAAAAATTTTTAATTCTAAGGTATAAAACTTTTTGCTTCATTTTAAAGAATATAATTTTACATGGCAAAATACAAAATTTGAAGGAAATCGGTCGAATAGTTCCTGAGAAATTTAATCTTAAATATCTGACTTTTTTTTTTAAATTCAATTTCTGATGAACTTTTTAACAGATTTTGCCATGTAAAATTATAATCTTTAAAATGGTGCAAAAAATTATATACCTTACAATTCAAGATTTTTCCAACCATTTTTAAAAGAAATAATAAACATTTACTATCTTAGTTCAGAGATTAGAGAATATTATTTACCAATAATAATAATATTTACTATCTATTATAAATATTTACTATCTATTATAAATATTTACTATCTAAATAATAAATATTTATCATTTTGGATAAACGAATCTTATAATTGTGTGCAAAAATTCACTTAAAAAGTTCCCTCAATATAGCAAAATACAAAAAAAAAAGTAAAATTAGCATTAAGAGATCAAAACTTTGGAGGGCTTTCCCAATCAATCTACAGGTACCATATTTTCGGGATTGCGACTACTCCCAATATTTTTAATGTCAGAAATCCGAATTCGTTAAAAAAAGGTATATTTATTCAGAGAAAGTACGTTTTTGTGCCTGATTTCGTAACTTAAAAATATCATATGCACTTATTAATAAGCATATTTGAAGTCATCTCCTCGAGCCATTAAGACTGAGTCTTAGAACATGAATATTTCATTATTAGATTAAAAGTTATTCAAGGTAGTCCGTTTTTTATTTTGCACACTGTACATTTAAAGGTGTGGCCAAAGTGATAAAAAAAGTTATTATTTGTAATAGCTTGTTTAGATACTAGTAATATATAATTCCCATTAAAGCTTAATTCCACAAGGGCCGTCTCATTATGTCTATTAACGATCATGTAATGATTTGGACCAATCATATTCAAAAAATTAGTTTCACTTTAACCTAAACATTACAATAAAAGTTATAAATTACATTACATTAAAAGTAGCTGCCAAGATTCGCTACAAACAGTTTTTTATTGCACTACTCGCTATGCTAGTTACTTTTAAAAGCAGCACACTATACTACCTAAAAAAAGTAGCAACTACAGTAGTTTCGCTCCTTGTAGCACGCTTCTTTTGACCACTGACCAAGAGTAAGAATATATCATTACCATATTACATTTACAGAGTGCGTAGCTAAATCTCTCAACAAAAAATAAGCACCCTTGAAGTACTTTTTAAGCACTAACATAAACAAAATGCAAAATAATTTTCGAAGACTTTACATGATCACGATTAAAATAACTAGTTCTGACAAAGAACTCTTTTCTTGATTATATTAGTCATTATAAAATGATCAAGAGATTTTCCGGTTCGACATCAGAGGGTGGAAAATGAAGCCTGAAATTGAGAATATCTTGCAAAATGCAGCAGAGTTGCGCACGAGAGTGCAATAATATCACCGAGCCCAGCTCATAATATGTGGCGAAAATCGACATGGTACAGAAAAAAAATCTCACTTTTGAAAAGGGGAAATTGAGTATTTTTTTAAAAAAAAAAAACAATGAAAAAAGCACCTTTAAGGGCTTTTAAAAAATTAAAATAAAAAATAAGCACATTTAAACAGTTTTTAAAAATGTTATGCACCATGATTAAAGGTGTACAACCTGCTTCTTTAAATGATCAATATGAGCCAAAAAATTACTTAATTTACATAATAAAAATATACAAATATTTTTCAAACCAATTGTAATAATTAAAAATATATATATATAATTAATGCATCAAAATTCTAAAATGCAGAGTTACCAATTAAAATTTTCAAATATTTTAGCTTTTAGTTGTTTTTTTTTTTTTAAAATAATTATCAGTTTTATCATATTTGTAATTTGACGATTTTTTTAAAAATTAATCTTTAAAGTAATTTACGTACAGTAAAAAGTTTTACAAAAACAATCAATATAAAATATTTATTGTAATTTAATTTTATTAAATAAAACAACTTTCGTAACACTTTAAATTTTTAAAATAATACAGTTTTAGTTTTTAAGACAAATTAATACTGCTCCAATTAAATATAGGAATAATTCAATTACCTAAAAAGTAAACTTATTACAAGCAATGTAAGCCCTTATATATGAACTATAGTAAAGGTAAATTTTGTCGTTATTTATTTTTTAAAATAAGATTAAAATATTTCTTTCTTTTGTTTTTAATTCTTCAAATTTGACACAAATATTTACAATTGAAAATAGTCAATATAAAGATTTGATAAAAAAAACTTTGTCTTTATATCTAATTCTATTATTAAAATTATATGTAATAAAACAGTAAATCTATAAGTAGACTATATTAACTTCATTAAAGTTAATATTTAAGACATTTATAGAAGCAACTTTATAGCTATACTTTAAAATATATGTATATATATAATTTTTAGAATTTCTGATACTTTAAGCGAGCTAGTAGAAACATGGTTAATTTGTGAGGGGAAAAAATGTTAGGTTTCACGAATTTTTTTTTGCTCAAAATTATTTGCACAAATTAATTTTTCATTTCTCTAAATAAATAATATTTGATATATAATACTCTGTAACCCTGGCCTGGAACACAAAATATTTTACTCAAGAAGAAGGAAGGTCAATAATCAAGAACCCTAAATATAATATAATTGAACCTCGATAGATTGTTGAACACTATAAACCTCTATAAATTGTTTGTTTTCTCATATTTATCTTTTTTCAACTCTCCCGTTGCTTATGCTAATCTGATAACCAGTGTTCATTCTAGATCTTAAAAAGGATAGGGTGCTAGAAACTGAGATTTCCTCCTTAAAAGGCACCTATCATAAAATAGGGCATTGTTCACAAATATTTGCATAACTTTTAAGACATTCAAAATATACAAAGTTTTTAATTTCATCATTAAAGTTTTTTTAAGATCATTAGTTTAAATTAAAAATAATTCCTCAGTTAAATTCACACATTCTATTAATTATTCTTAAAACGAGGGTAAGTAAATGTTGCGTGTTGTAGGAATAACTTATTAAAATTATCTGGAATTTAAAAAGGATGTCAAAATGAATGCAAGAACAATAATTGTGATAACTGCCTAAAAAGCGATCGAAAATTAAGGTGGACTTACGTTGGAATCAAGCGTGTGAAAAGGTGATTACTAAAATATGAAATTCGCAAGCCATACCATTGTAGTCATTTCATCATAATCGAAAAAACCATGGGAAAATAATCAAGTAACAACAAACAGCTATAAAAAAAGATTAATGACGTAGATTTACAATAAAATGGATTAAGTAAGTCAAAAAATGACTCTCTAAACCGAAAAACTAACTTGTTGAAATAAGATTGCATAAAAATTATCAGAATAAGAAAAAACAAGCGGAAATGGTCAGATATGTGGATTTACGATAGATTCGCTCAGAATAGAACGCCTTCAAAAAGATAACTCAATTCGAAATTCATATGTCGTAAATGCATTAAATATATCGGAGAAAATTCGAAAACCAAATGCAAAAAATTATAAACTGCCAAATGAACTATTATGTTGCTTGGAAAATTTGTGCTGATAAATTAGCAAGTATTATAGGATCGAAATGAACTTTCTAAAAGATTTAAAATCATCAGAGAAAATTCGAAACCTTAAAATATCAGAGAAAATTCGAAAACCAAATGCAAAAGGTCAAAAAATTATTAACTGCCAAAAGAACTATTATGTTGTCTAGAAAGTTTGTGCTGATAATTTGTCTACTATTATAGGATCGAAATGATCTTTCTAAAAGACTTAATATCATCAGAGAAAATTCAAAACCCTAAAATATCAGAGAAAATTCGAAAGTCAAATGCAAAAAAATTATAAACTGCCAAAAGAATTATGCTGTTTGGAAAGTTTGTGCTGATAAATTATCTAATATTATAGGATCAAAATGATCTTTTCAAAAGACATCATCTGACGATGGGAAATTACAATGGAATCATCACAAATCGAACGTCATAAGAAGATTGTAGCAAAAATATCTGATTTTTAAAAATTATGTGAAAAGGGCCGATAAAATGATAAATAACTGTCGAAAAACATATCAGAAAACGATGAGAAATTGTGATAGAATTGTTGCGAATCAAACATGTCAAAAAGTGATAATGCTAGTTTGAAATTCACACGTCGTAATAACTATTAAAATATAGAATTTGAAAAACCATGTCAGAAAAGGCTGAAAAATTATAGTTTTCAAAAAAATTTTATCAAACGAAGATAAATTATGATCGTTTCATCACAAATCATAGCATTAAATAGTGATAACTCAAATTCGAATTTTGAATATCGTATTAAATCTCACAAAAATATCAGGGGAAAAAAATATTAAAAAGCTCGATAATGTATATTATAATATATTACTAGTCCGTAGATGTTTTTACTGGTACTTTATTCTTTTTAGATTTTCTTCAAGTCTTTTAAAGTTTAGATTAGATTTTCTTTTTCAAAAAAAAAAAAAAGGCTTAAGTAATTTTATATGAAAACTTCAATACTGAGAATGTCACACTTACGATAAAAAAACGCTATTTTGTTACAAACCAAAACAGTCTTTTAACATCAATTGCTGGTCTGAGAGATCATTAACAACTATTTTTTTGGTGGTCTAAGTCCAATATCAACCAAGTTAATTGGTCTAGGACCAACGGACCAGGCCATCATAATTTCATGCCAGAAAAGTCTCTTAAACTGAAACCATGATACTGCTCACTATCATATTAACAGGTTAAAAATTTTATTCTAAATAATTAACTAAATACACGCTAAATTGCAATATTGATATAAAGATAAAAGATTATAATTATTAATATTATCAACTAAATAAAATAAAAACCTTATATCATTAAACAAAAGCTTAATTGTTAATTAGTAACATTACATTTCTTAACTTATTTGTTTAAGAAAAAATCTGCTTGATATATATATTTCAATATTGCCATCTTATATTATCACTTTAGCATATCCTGATGTACTTTCATGCAATACATAAACAAGCTTTACCACAAAAATGCTACTAAAACTAGAAAAACTTACTATATATTTCAGTAGTGATATTAGTCATCTACTTTCATTAATTAATAATCTACTTTCATCAACAACAAAAAAAAACCAGATATTTTAAATCAAACATATGTTACAAAACACATTTTCCTGCAATTGAATGCACCTTTTAATGTTATTAAATCTGTATTTAAGAATCAAGCAAATACTATTATTATAATAAAAGATACATGTTTTTATGCCATTGGCTTTGCTCTAATATCATTAAACATATGCTGAATGTTACCTACCAAAAAGCATAATTTTGGCCAATTGTGTATAAAATACCTATAAGTATAAATAGAATAAGGTTCTGAAAGGTCTTTCTGAATCAATCTCATGATATCTGGCATTTGACTTTCAGAATGATATCCATGATAAGTTATGTTTACATCGTTTGAAATTTCTAAATTTATGCTTCCAATGGGAGGAACAGCCTCAATTTTTTCAATTTGAACATCACGAATTGAATTTAAAGCGCTATCATGAACTTTAGAGGATAATTCTAGCGAAGGACAAGAGGGATTTTCATCAATCGTTGTGACATTGCTTTCAAGAGACTCGAAATTGGTCCTGGAAATTTCTACACAGTGTTTGGGCGGCTCACACGTCCTGTGATTGAGTTTTTCTAAATTAGAATTGAACACTTCAAATTTATTACATTTATTTATACCATTCACAGCTATGTCAACAAATTTCATATCTTCGTGCAAAGTTTTGTGACACCCATTTAAAAGACCACAATTACTAGAATCTTTACAGATGTGTAACTTTTCACGAAGATCGTCTGCTAATTCGGGAAGGTTTGCAGACGATTTATTATCGATTTTTTCACTGAATGATGTAACTTGGGTCTCATTATCAATCGAGTTATCACAGGCACCGTTTATATTGGATCCAACTACAGGATCATTAAGCCTAACATCTACGTTCCTTATGTTTATGTCGAGAGTAGATTGATTTTCCATGTTTACAAATTGACTATTAACTATAGGAAAATCGTTTCACACAGTACATTACACAATTAAATGTGGATATTGAAACACGTTCCTCGAATATTCACTTCGTAGAATCACTCATGATCTCATTATCATCAACTTCCAGTCCAGACAAAAACAAGGACGAGGAAAATTGATTTCATTTCGATTCAAAACTTTTATAATAATGTATTTCTTTTTTAAATAATCACAATCATCTAAGAATATTAGTTGTGTCATAAATATTTTTTTAAATTATAAAACATTTGTCAAAAAATTTCAATTAATGTTTTAAATATGGTAGAATAAAATCTAAATAAATCTAATTTTTTAAAAAAAAGTAACTGTAACTGCCAAATATTTATGATTGCAAAACATTTCTGCTCGTTTGAGTCCAGAACTGTCAGATAAATGTCAAATAATATTCAACTGTTTATGAAATTTTATTTTGATCTTACTTCGACATGTTATTCATAATCTTCCATTGTTTTTGTTTATGATAGACTGTTAAATCTGTCTAACTGTTAATTCTTTCCTTTCTACCGGCTTAAAAAAAATAATGCTGATTAAACTTTGTTCGAGTCTTTATTTTTTAAGTTGCATTTATTGCATTAATACTCTGCATTTGACTGGACAATTCAACACAAATGAATTTTTCAAGTTTTTAACAAAGTTTGGATTTCAGAAAACTATATATCATGATCATTTAAACACTTTAGGTTTTATTTATGGCAATATAACTGCGCCCACTTATGCAATTGATGAAAGACATAAAGCTACTTTTGTTGTTGTAGATAGACAGTTTTTTCTCGAATATTATAAGGATAGATCTTTATACAAATCTGATCCTGATGGTGTTTGCAACGCAATGTTTAAAAAAATCGATACTGTCGCATTTGATAAAAATTGTAAAGAGAATGGCACTGACGATCTCTTGAGAAGTGTTCCCTGTCCTAGGAATGAATTGTGTGAAGATGAAGATGCACCTCAGCGAGTGGTTAACGGTCATCAATTTACTTATGCTGTCCTAGATAAAAAACAGGCTAGGTATTTTTTTCTTAAATCTTTTTCTAATATAAACACAAAGTTAGGATGTAAAGATCATTTATTATCTAAGGTATTATGTGCTATTATTTATAGTAATTATTATTAGCCATTAATTGTTAAGTGCTCTGCCTCTTAGATGACTTTTTCTAATGCAATGTTAAAAAGCAGACAGGATAGGGGCTCACCTTGCCCAAGACATCAATCAGTAAAAAAGGTCCCAGAAAGCTAGTTTTGCTGTTTGTTTTGTGGTGTTTGTTTGTATCTGTCTTGCCAACTACAATCACCAAGGTGCCAAATAGATTTTAAACTTGCAAGTTAAAAAAAAAAACATGTAGATGTTTCCTAGTGGTGGCTAGGAGTTATATCTGTGATGTTTTTTTAGTTTCTCGCAGATCCGTAGCCAAGACTTGGCAATTATTCTACCACAGATCACAGTACAGAAATCTCCTTCACTTTATTTGGCACCTTCGTGATTGTCATTGGCATCACAGATCACGATACGGAAATACCCCCCTTTTAAATTCTGCCATTGCTTCACATAGCTTTTTTCACTTATCTATGCTGCCTTTAAATCTAATTCTACAAAAAGATTATATGCATCAACATTATATTCTTTATAGTTTGTCTATGGTGAGAACTCCCCCTGCCACAAAGTCTGAGGCTGTCTGCTGCTATGGAAACAAGCATAACATATTTTCTGGAAGGTAGTTTCTCTTCACTCTAGGGCTAACATAATAGACTGAAGAAAAAGATACCTTTTCTTTTGATGACCCGAGTAAAGACCTGTCCTTAACCCCTTAATTGCTGCAGGCGTATATATACACTTTCCCGAAGTACGATGCTTTGTATTGCTCTGCTATATATGGAGCTACACCCCGACTTTGTAATGCAGTAAAATTACCTTGAAAGTGTTAGCGATTGATATGATATCATATTCAAGTTTCAGAGGGGGGAATGGAAGAGGGTGACATCATTATTCATTGCTAATATGTTTCTATTTGAGTAAGGTCAGGTTTATTCTTCTTTTGCTTTTGTTTCCTGTGCGTATTTGGTGCTTTTTATTTTTTGAATGAATATGTCGGAAAGTGAAAAAAATTCTTCGTGAATCCCGCTATCAGTGCAATGAATGTGATGTTGGCTTATGTGTCCAACCATGTTTCAGGATTTATCATACAACAGCTAAATTTTAACATCTTTTATATTGTATTTTTATTCTTTAATTTAAGTTTGGTATTTTCTTTTTCTTCTCTTATGAAAGTAAACTGTTTTTAAATTGCAAGGCGTAAATCTTTTCCCCCCACCAAAACACCGCATAACAAAGCGCCCTTGATCGAAAAATGGCGGCATTGGGGAGTGAATCACGTAAATTTTACTCGGCAGTTAAGGGGTTAACAGTGACCCCTACTTGAAATAGTTATGCCTCGTTACCATAGTCACCACCACAGATCCAGGCGAATGTCTAGGGGAGTTCTTACTTTAGACAAACTATAGTTTTTCTCTGATATTTGCTTAATGTATAGATTTGAACAATGGTGGATTTTCCTCTTCGGAATCCACATTGATGAGGAACACCAACACCACAAGAGGAAGTAGCCTATTATATAGTGTATTAGAGAAGATTTCTAATATAGTTGTTAGCAGAATTATTCCTCTTTAATTTTTGCAATCAAGTTCGCTTTACTCGCTCTACTACTTCTTTTAAAAATTTAGTGCATTACACAGCTAACTACAAAAAATTATTGCCTACTTTAAATTAATTTTTAGTAACATGTTAATTCTGATCTCCTAGTATAGGACAAAAAGGAAAACTTGCTTGTTTGTTAAATATTTATTTCATTCATAACATGCTTTTTCGCAAAAATGTCATAAAGAACTAATCTTTTAGCCATTTTGATATGCACAAATTTGTAGACCTCAAAATCATTTTGTATTTTATTTATTTTTTCTTGGCATGTACACTGAGTTTGAAGAAGCATTTAGAGAAAGGTTTTTCAATTATATAAACACAGGGCCCGACTTAGCGTAATTGTGGCCCGGGGTCAGAAATTTCTTTGGGGGCCTCCCTCTACTTCACCAGTTCAGTAATGAAAAATTGAACTTCATGGAGGTATTTAAATTTTTCACCTCATTATATATATATAACAAGAAAATTGACTAGTACTTAAAATAGCTATGAAGTCCTCCCTTCCAGTGGTCAGTCGAAATATCGTTCTGTCCATTTTATTGATTTTCTGAAAATTCTATGTCCATCATGCCGCATGCAGTTTTCTGATTGTTAACTTTATCATCTAGCCGCAAAAAATTCATATCTTTACTGACATTAGCTAATTTTACGCAATTACAATGGCTCACTTAAGCCAATCAGAAGAGTGTATTTTTGTGAACATATCTCATTTTGCGATATGAAAAAATTCAGATTTTTGATTGGCCAAATTTGTTCATCATAATTGCAAAAATTTGTTGAATTCTGCAATAGAAGGTCATGGATATACGAAATATAGATTTTTTGTGTTCATACTACAGGTTAATTAAGAAGCTAACATAAAACTGATGGTTTTTACATTGCACTGATATTTTGTTTGAAAAAAGTTCATTGAAGAAGGAAACCTAAAATAAACTTCCACTGCCTTTGACAGGCTCTGTATAAACAATAAGGAGATAAATTTTTATAGACTAAACTTTTTTTTTCCTTCTCAGATTTTGGTACATTAGCCTTGTAGCTTGTTATAGATATGGGTCTGATAATAACTGTACTTGGAAAGAGTCTTCGAAAGAAAACATAGTTATGGACTATGATATATGGCTGGCAAATGGAAATCCTTACGCTACACATAGGAATCCTTTTGAATTTCAACTGTCCTTTGATCAACAAGTAAGTTCATCTCTGTTAACTGAATTATTTCTATTCAAGCAATCAAAAAAATAATACTAAATTGATTGCTAAAAATGTCACATTAGGTAAAAAGAAAACTATAAAATGTTTCTAAACATGTATTTTATTCATTGGCAAAATGAGTCTTGGTTTGGATATGATGGCATGCACACACTTTTCAACTGTGTTTAAGAGTAATTGTAAACAGTGCGCATACATCGTCATTGCATGCGTTGCTATGGCGACCGCTGCTGTTTTTATTTTTATTTTCACTAGCAGACATTTTTAATGTGTTTACATAATAACAATTTAAAGCATTTTTATATTCTTTTTATTATTAATGTATAATTACTGACTTGGCAGTGATTTCAATATAAATATGAATGCTAAAGAAATAAAAGTTATTTGTGCCGTCTTGAAACATGTACATAGGCAGGATTTGAAAACCAATCCAATGACAAACATCAATTGAGACAGTTTTTGCAACCCATTATTTGAAATGTTGTGGCATTTAATTGAGTCCAGCCAGAAGGAAAAAGCATTTAACCAATGGGTAACCAGTGATCGTAGTGAGGCGATCACAACTTTTATTTTTTTTATATTGGAATATTTCTTTTTGTAGGTATATTGTTATATTTTCATTTTATTTATTTAATTTTATTTTTTTGAAGTTAAATCAAGCTTTTCCAGTTGACATTTACGTTGACTTAATGTTATTTTGAAAATAGGATTGTTATTCCGTTTGTTATTAATCCTAATAGATGGTGAAAATATTGTTTTAATCGCAATAAGTTGTCACCTTAATTAACTTGCAAATTCTTCAAACAAATAATGGCAAGTTGACTGTGCCATAATTTATAATTTTTACAAGCATTATCAAAAGACAAGCTAATAGAAAATCTAGATTTTTTCTTAATAATTTGCTTGTCATCATAACTGCTAACCGTATTATAACGCCAACTTTAAATTTCCCCACATATTTTGCAGGCAAATAAATTAAGTGATGTTTCAATCTTCCCAGGGTGAGTCTTAGCCTTCTATAGAAGTTTCTTCTATTCTATTGGAGAATTTTCTTCTTGCTTATATTTTTCAGTTCTTAGTTTTTATCAATAAAAGTTTTATTAAAGGTATCTGTGATAGAATAAATGAATTGTTTAACAACTTTCTATGTATCAGGCCAATAGGATTTGTCATCACTATTTTCTAATCAACTTGACATTTTTTTGGCTTATTGCAGTGAGTCCACACACTTTTTGGGAAATTAGAAAATATATAACATTTATTTCTCTGTTTGCAATAGCTAAAAGTATAATTAAATATTTATAGCAATAAGCTTGAGTAAATTCAATCTGATTTCATAATTAGTCTAGACGCATTTGGACTACCTAATTGTAATAAACCTAAAAAAACATCAGGCAAATTAAAAAAAGTCTAGTACATTGTAAGATGTCGGCAACAAATTATAAAGATTTTTCAGTTAGCCTAGTACCTAGGCATGTCTAAAATATCTTTCTACCAAATATAAAGAAATATGTTAGTCCATATTTATATATATATATACAGTGAACTTTCATTACTACGATATCCAATACAACAATAACTCCCTTTATTACAATAATGCTTGTGGTCCCGACAAACTTGCATATGAATTAATGTCATGCTTCTCTCATTATTACTATATTGTCTAAAGCAATAAATTCCTCTAATTTTTTTTTTTTTCAAAATTATAACATTATTTTCTCCATTTAGTATTGGTTTCCAAACAATGTAAAAAATCTTATTTTATCTTCTTTTGCCATTTTTTCCATCTTTTCTGACAAGAGAAGACTCACTTCGGACCACCCCAAGAACTTTAATTCTTAGAATTGCCTCCCTTATCTCTTTAAGAAGTCACAGATGTAACATTCCTATCTGATTTTATTTCCTTCATATTAAAAGCTGATCATGAGTCACAAATGACCACAAGCATCACGTTAACACCTGAAAGAGAATTTTTTCTGTAGAGGGTGGGGGGAGCGCCATTCACGAACTAAAATCATTTTCGTGCTTTGGACTCAATACATACTTTGTTGGTAGTCTTGTCAGCCAAAAAAATGAATAAGCAGACGAAAATATCAGATTATTTTCAATAAAAACGGTTTTCAGGTATTTTTATTATTTTATTTTCTTAATTTATTCAATTGTTTTTAATATTTAACCATACTTAACACTCTGCGAATTAATTTTTTGCATAACATATAAATAAATTTATAGTTAATACGTATATTGCATTAAATTTTGTCCCCAAAGTATTGTATTTATTGTTTTGTATTTAATTAATTTGTATTACAAAATTGTATTTATTGTGTCCCCAAAGTATGTAGGCCCTCGATATAACAATATATCCCTCTACAACAATATATTTATTTGGTCCTCAAAATATTGTTTTAGCGAGGTTTTACTCTATAAAAAAAGCAAGCATTAAAACAGTGTTTGCCAAAGTGTGGTACACGTACCCCCACAGTGTTTTCATCATAGAAAAAAATGGGTGAGAATTTCTCACCCTTTCTCAAAAACAGGGCGAGATTTCAAAAAGTTGAGTGAGATTTCTAAGAGCTAAAAAAACACAAAAACTCTTGAAAATAAAATAATTTCTTTAATTATAATACATCATCATAGAAGATTTTGCCTTTACAAAGTATTCGTCCATCTTACATTAGTGCATAAGAAATTTGAACTTATTACATGAAGAAACCTTACCTACGGTAAACAGGTGGTTGCAGAGAAATGTGTTCTGAAAGGGGTTCTGTGGTTCGGAGGGGTTGTGTTCTGTTGTTCGAAAAGGTTCTGAACAATACTCGCAAATAGGGAAGCTAGATAACGGGGCAATATTGAAAATAATGAAAGATCCAGGAGGAAAAGTAAAACGGATTTTATTCTAAATGGCGTAATTCAAAGCTTTTTCCAAAATGCGAGAAATTCGTGAATTTTGAAATTGATTTATAGAATGAGCTAATTTCTCGCGGTAATAATTTTTTTAATGCGAGATAGTAGAAAAATATGCGAGATTCTCGCGTTCTCGCGCTGTAGTGAAAACACTGGCCCCAGGGGTACGGGAACAGTTTAGCGGGGGTACGGGTTCTTACGCGAAATATCTTGCAACAATCGAAAATTTTATTTAAAATCAAAGCTAGCCCTGAAATTTGACGATTACGCATTTTTCTATTGGCTATTTTTTTGCAGAGTTAGCTGTTAATAATTAATGGTGTCAACAACCAGTTGTGATTTTTAACTTTTGTGCAATTTTTTTATTAGTGGTACACGGCATTACGAAAAATTTAGAAAGGGTACACAAAAGTCATACATTTGGGAAACGCTGCATTAAAAGAAACTTTATGAGAATTTACAGTGTCTTATTGTTCTGTATGTCAACCTAGAACTGCCCAACACATAATTGCCCTCCCCCCCTCTCTTTTTAGGGAACAGTTGAAATGTATTTGGGATTGCTTGCTCTGTATTTGATTCTAGTCCCTCTCCAACTGTACGCTGCAGTGCATCAGCGTCATCACGTAACCAGGTTATATACTGCCTCATTAGTGTTACAGCTATCTTATGTTTTCTGCATAGTGGTTCATATGGTTAAGTTTGCGCTGGATGGTGAAGGGGTTGCTGTTCTTGAAGTTGTTGGAGATGTGATGCATCTATTAGCTGAGGTAATTGCATTATTTTCTATAGTCAGTATTGGATATTTCTGCTTTTGGTGCTTTTCCGTTAGCTGGCGCAAGCGAAAAATGGCCAAATAATGTTGAATTCTGCCAAATTTCTTACAACCATAAAGAGAATGTTAGTTTGGGGCCATGCGCCCTATTCTCTGAATTCGTTCAAAACAAAGCATGTATTAATATTTGTTTATAGTTAATGTTTTCGATTTTTATTCTGTTGACTGTTTTGTCATTTGCTTCACTTGGCTACTTGGCTCCTGTTTTGTTCACAATTGGCAACATTTGCACCCGGCTAATGGAAAAGTACCCTGCTTTCATTTATAAAAAAATTCATGCTTTTTTTTCATATTTTTTTTATCCCTTTAATTTGAATTCTGTACATTTTCTTTTTAATTAACACAATTTCGTTAATCAATTCAGGATTTGTAGTTTTCCTGATGAAAAAAGTATTTTATCCTTATCTGTCATGAATTTTAACTTTTTTTCGAGATTTTTTTTTTGTCTATTCAGAACAAAACTTTATATTTTATAACAATTGTGGATTCTTAAGAAATAGATTATAAAAATCAAAAGATTTAGATTTTTGATCCAGCATCTTTTTTTTTTCCTAACTGATAATACTAGTAGAAATTGAAAAATGCAATAGTTCAAATTTAGAGACCATTTACTGATTATATCAGACATGTGAATCAGACTTGGAATTCCACTTATCTAAAATTTAAAATTTGTTACTTGTGCTAAATCTCGTTAACTAGACATTTATTCCTTAGACATATGTTCCAACAATCTCGAGCTCTTCACCTGCTCTTTTTCCAGTTAGAAAGTATATGGCTACAGCTTATTCTGCGAGGCGATATTTTCAAACAGATAATTTTTTTTGAGAAAAAGAAATAAATTATATAATTTCTGAGCTCAAATCTACTGTATTTCATAAGATATTATTGATATTAAGTAATTTAGGTGACTTTAAAGAGAAAATTTGTTTTAGTTGTTTAGAGATGTATTGTTAAAAAAAGGTGTTATGGTTCCTAGATTTAGAAAGAACTCACTTTTTTGGCTGTTTTTACTTGTTTATTACTATTTGTTTTTGATGGAAGATGTGTACCACTATAGGTAAGTGTTTGCATATTGTTCGAGCAGTGAGATTAACTTTATTTTACAAATTATCATTTAGGTTCGGTAAATTTCGAAGTTGGTTAGCAAAGTAAAAAGTGTTTTATAATGATTCTTTTTTCAACTGACAATTCTTACGTCTTTAAGTGACAGGTCTTCAAAGGATGATTCTTATAACAATTCTTCTTTTAAACACAAATAATTAATCAGGTAACAAATAATCTATGCAAGAAATGCTACTTAAGAGAGTCTCAAAGCACAATGATCACATTGTAAGCCAAATGGTTGCAAAACACACCAAAAACAGTAACCCGGAAGTATAAGCAGTCAAGAGCTTGCAGCACTCCCTAGTGTAGAAAACACCATCCATAACAATGAGATCACTATAACAATAATTCCATCTGCCATTCTCTATTATAGTACTTTAAATGTACTTGTTTGAAATTCTTTTAATAAGAAATTTTGAAAAGTAAACATACCTTATTATATAATGTTTAGAATGTGTTGCATAGAAAATATTCATTCAATCATTATGTTGTAAAACATCATAGAATTTATTATTATTTAGAGAGCTTAAATGATAAAAATTATTTCATTTATTTTTTCAGAGTCTCTTTATGTTGCTGTTGCTTCTCCTAGCTAAGGGATGGGCTATTACAAGAACTGAGTTAACATGGAAGCCTTTTCTTTTTTGTGTTTGGATGCTGTACACGTGTGTTAGTGTTCTTCTGTATGTCTGGAATATGGTAAATACTGTACGGTTTTATATTTCCTTGCAATTTTTTGTAACTTATACACACATATCTTTCTGATATATTATTTCACTGCAAAGATTAAGGTATTAGTTAAGCTAAGGTGTTATTAAACTTGAAATAATTACCCTAAATTTATTACATATTTATGACTAAAAACAATGTTCTCTTCTTCTTTTCTTATTACTTTATTTTAAAAGACAAAAGAAAATTAATAATGTTATTAAAAAAAAAGTAAGATTTTTTCTTTTAGGAATGTAGCCAGGGTACTAATGGTAAAATTATATCTTACATTAGACTGAAAATGTTTGTTTATTAACTATTTTTTGCAAAATGAAGATTTTGAGGTACATAGTGCTGCTGAAGCATTAAATGTATGGAGCTGTGTTGCTAGAAAGCTATTGGATGAAGTAGGTTCATAGTGAATTATGTGAGACTATGAAAAAAATTGCATCAAAAAAATTTTCCAACTTTTTTATTCTCATAAAATATTTTGAAAATAAATAAGGGCATATCCTATAACCTAAAAATTAATAATAAAAGGCTTTCATTTTATAGCCACACTATGCTTCTCAAAAACTTCATTTTGCAAAATATAACTATTTTTTGCAAAATGAAGGTTTGTGGGTGCAAAGTGCTTCTGAAGCGCTAAATGTATGGAGGCTGTGATAGAAAACTACTTGATGAAGTATGATGAAGGTTCACAGTGAATTATGTGAGAGTAAGAAAAAAATTACATCAAAGAATTTTTTACGACTTTTATATTCTCAATAAATATTTTCAAAATAAATAAATAAGGGCATATCCTATAACTTTAAAAAAAAATGACAATAATTAATGTAAAGCATGTTGTTTGGTATATTTCCAGACAATCTCATTTTTTTCTGAGAACAATATTTTAAATATTTCTTTATTTTCTATTTATTTTGAAGGAATTTTTTTTTCTATTCTAGAACATTTAACATATTTTGATTTTGTTGCTTCTTATAGCAAGACTTGTTATTTTATTTTTTTGCCTTTTTTGTGCATAATACTGATTCACAATGTATTAGTTACAATCAGTAATTAAATTAAACTTATTCAAGAAGTGGTATGCTTAAAAAAATCAGGAATTTTAAGAAGAGAAAAAAAAATATTGAACCATAAGGAAAATAGTTCTGTTGTCAAACTGTCATGAAATAAAAACTGAATAGAATTATGTCGAAATGTTTTGTTTTTTTTAAGCTGTAGTTCAAAATAAATCTGTTCTTAATATCTTTTATAATGGCACTATTATAAGAATTTTAGATTTTGGTAATAATTATCATGCATAAATCAATAATTTCCAAAACTTAAATTTTTGTTTAGTGAGCAAAAACCCATCCTCCAAAAAGTTAATTTTGTAATTTACTTTTAAAAATTTCCAGTTCTAAACATTTTTATACAATTATCTTTATATCTTCAAATATATTTGTTTTTATTTTCAATTTTTACTCATTTTATAATTTTGTACAATTATGTACATATTTGATATTAACAATTTAACAAGAATTAATTAATTGGAATAGTTATTTTAAAAGGTTTTTTTTTAATGTTAGGGTGACCTGGGGTAATTCCTGATCAAAAAATGCAAACATCTATTTTGTGAAAAAACCATTCAAGATAGAATTTTAATATTTACTGGAAGTTTGAGGCTATATGAGATGAGTCCTATGCCTCCTTCTTTTGTTTGAAAATATAATTAGAATTTTAGAGATTTTAAATTTTTAGTGATCAGGAATTACCCCTGGTCTTGATCATTTTTGCGGTAATTCCTGATCACTTCTGGGGTAATTTCTGATCACCAGTTTTTATTGTAAAGGGGCTGCTTAAAAATAATTATATAATGGTAATTAANTCCACAATATTTAAGTGGTAGTGAATAATTAGGCTTAATTTGTATAATTTTGCTTTGACACCACTTACAAACTTCACTACTTGATTATCATATCTTATTTGCTTGAGTTTTATTTAGATAAGCCAAATTAATTTAATCAGAAATAAAATTGTAACACTCAAATTTAACTACTACTTCAAATATTCAAGAAAAACTTTTTAAAAGAAGAGAAGTTTGCATATATGGATATATTTTAAATAGTTATACGTATTTACCATCTTTTAAAACTGAATGAGACTTCATTTATGTGTTATATGTTGAATATACAGTCAAACCCTGCTATAGTGAACTCCCAGATATAGTGGACGAAATGTTCATTCCTGTGCCTTGCTACACACATATAATGTTACTTTTGTGGATATAGTGAACCAATAAAGAGAGGAAGTTGGATATTAGGAATTTTTTTTATGACTTCGACTGATTAATTTTCTTCATTTTCTTGTAACAATTTTGAAATTTCTACCTCAAAATAAACACGCATACCTATTTTTTAAACCATTTATAGCATGAAATGCAGCAATTTTCTTATTTGCTTCATTATTATTATTTTTATTTTTAATTTCCAATGACAGATTATAGACAGTAACAGCATACATAAACATCGAATAAAAATAAGAACAGAAACAAAAGATGCTGTAACAAAATCTATTAATCACAATATGTCTCTATCTTCCCAATAGCGTTCAGTGGTAGAATTTTTGCGAAGTGCAGAGCAGCGAAGAAGGTGCGTGGAGTCCATGTCATCACCAGAACTGCAAAGAGTGCATACCGGGAAGGAACAATACCAAATCTAAACAGATGTTTCTGCTGACAGTCTATTTGCTTCATTATTGAATACTATTATTCAATTGGTTAAGCATTCAAAGAAGCCACAATCTTCCAGTATCTGGACAATGATTCAAGTCAAAGTCAATAAATATAGATTACTTTAATGTGCTCAAATGCCTGGTTAGACAGGCTTAAAAAATGGAATAACATAAATCCAGGAAAAAATATCAGAGAGTAGGGAAGTGTTTCCATATCTGATGTTGAGGATTGCTCATCAGCTAAAGATTACAAATTTTTTTTTTGTACTCAAGACGGAGAGTAATTAAAAATAAAAGTTAACATTTTTTGTTACTACGTATAATTTTTCAGGCATTTTTGTAATTCATGTTATTGGTCTTTTATTTAAATAATGTGTAATAAAAAGGGGAAGTTTGGAACCATTTGTTAAAATTGTTTGCAGAACTGTTATAGTGAAGTCTTGGTTATAGTGAACCAAAATTTCGGTCCCGTGAAAGTTCATTATAGCGGGGTTAGGCTGTATTTCATTATTTAGCCTGAAAAATATATTTTATATGTTAAATATTGTTTAAAACTCTTTTATAGACTGAAGTGGATGTGATTGATGATATTGATGAATATCAGACTTTTCCTGGCTGGATATTCTTAATTTTGCGCCTGGCCATCATGGTTTGGTTTCTGTACGAGCTACGTTCAACCATGTTGGATGAGAATGATCGAGCGAAGTTGAGATTTTATGTTCATTTTGGTGCTGGAATTTTAGTATGGTTTGTTTACCTGCCTGTTGTTGCATTGATTGCTCTTCAGATATCTGCATTATGGAGAGCAAAGCTTCTTTTAGGTGAGCTATCAATCTTTCTTTTCTAAGAGAGTCAATGTGGGTCATTATTGGGAGTTGAAAAGCTTTTAGAAAGTTATCTAATTAATGAGCTAAATATGTAATAAATTTTTTAAAAAATCTTATTTACTATAGGGCCAGTGTCCAGGAAATTTAGTTTTGGTGCTAGATGAAATTTATATTTTGTTGTAGAGGTTTGATTAGCGTATACCATAAGTTGAAGATGTTAAGGAGATCAAGTTAGTTTTAATTCCATTAGTTGAAGAGGTTTTATGTTTTTTATATTAAGTTGAAGTTCGATGAATTTACCATTCATTGAAGGGGATGTTGGTTGGTATAGTCGTCCATATGTTATTCCAGTCTGATGTAGGCCAGCAATTATTTAGCAAAAATCATAAATTGCTTAATAAAGAATCGGAATATAATAAATAAATATGTTTTATTCTTGAAATTTATGTGTGATCATATGAAGCTCCAAAGTATTAAAAAAAATTCATACGTAATAATTATAATAAATTTTGAAATGGCAAGGATGGTCGCCTGCAGAGCCAAGCCCCACAAAGCACCTCCGTTCATCAAGAAATCAAAAATGCAAGTGTAATGTGTGAGTTGAAATAGTTTTGGCCAAGGAAAGTTAAGGAAACCATGTATAGGCTAATGATTGATTAAATTTAATGCCAAGGCTCTTTTTCTTAGCATTACGCATTCAAGTGTGTTGGTGGAAAAGAAAGCAGGAGAAATCATAACGAATTTTAAGGAAATCAAAACATTAACTAGCAACCATATAATGGTTTTTGAATTCTATGCAAATGTGTTAGGCGGAAGTAGAGGGAATCTCTAAATGTAGATTTTATTCTACACTCAATTCAAGGTTGTGGTATAAGAAGATTACAGGTTATGTTAAGGATTTTTATTTATGGAAAAAGCATTTCTTAAATGATAGGAAATATGTTATGTATTGCATGACAGCCAGAGATGGTGAATCTTTTTTGACCAGTGTGCCAGTTAATTACAATTTATTGTTTTTAGGAGTTGCTTGATTTGTATTTCTAACTTTCTAAAATAATTGTAATTGTAAAATAATTGTAATTGTAAAATAATTGTTGAATTTTCACAAAAAGGTTATTGAACGTGCACCTGCTTGGAAATTTAAATTTGTGATTTCCGAAATTGTTATAAAAATACTTTATGTATATTTCCAGGTATCACATCTAGTGCTGACTTTCTTGCTTATGCAATCATGTCACATCTCTTGTCCCCTACCAGAAGTGAACAGTACTTTCAGCTTGCATCTGAATCCGATCCCGGTGAAGAATTAGAAGAATTCAATGAAGCTCCGCATAATGTGCCGAGGCCGCAAAAAGTTTAAACTAGTCTTGCTACAATCGCAAAAACATTTTCATTTTTTTATGTGCTGTAAATATACCTCTCCTAAAATAATCAGTCCATCTTCGTTATTTGCTGTGATGTGAACCCTTTTTAGAAATATCTATATAAATGTGTTATGAGACAGTATTCAAATAGAAGGTGCTTCATTGTTTTTAATCTTTTGAATCTGGATAGATTTAACTCTTGTTGGTTTTATCTCATTTTGCGTGTTTTATATCATTGAAGATATTTTAATAATGTGGTTGTTTGGTTTTCATTTCAATGTTTTTATCATGTGTTTATCCTTTTGTTATATATTTTACCCATTCAATCTTACAAATTTTTTACACTTATTAATCATCCTAAATATTTCATTTAATGCATTTTTTATTTTAAGAATAGAGCTGGTTAGACTGAGGGTTGATATTTATATACAGTGCCAGCGAAAGACGTTTTGTAACTTCAGGCGATACTGACTTAAATTTGGAAAAGACAACTGAATTTTAAAAAAAATAATAATTTTTTACATAATAATAATTTAGTCACAATGCTGTAGGAAATTGCTTCTTGTATTTTAAATTACAATATTATGAATAACATGTAAACTTTTTTTACCCTAGGTTTTATGAATTATAAATATTTTTCGATATTTAATGCTAATAAAAAAATATTTTGTGAAGCAAAATAATAGGTCTCTAAACCAGAGATGTCAAGTTTCTTCCAACCCAAATGGAAGAAATAAAGAAACTCCTTTTCAAGAGAAATCTAAAATTTAATAATTTTTTTAAGCAGTTTATAATAACAATTTAGTTTAAATAATAGTAATAATTTCTGTTAAGTGTGAATGCTGAAACAGACTCTCCAAGTAATTTAATGCATACATTTTAAAATTTAAAAAAAAAAGATTGAATTAAATAATATAACAAAAATTACATGAATAATATAAAAATTGTTATTTAAAACAAATTAGAGGTGTATTTTCTAGTACTATAAATTCAATTTGTTTTAATTTGAGCTATTGGAATAATATTCATTGCTAAACAATTGTATAGATTATTTTTAGTTTCTTCCTGTTTTTCCCTGTTTCTTTGTCTGGGAGAAATAGGTTTTTTAGAGATGAGAAATACCAACCCTGATCTAAATACCTAAAAATAACTACTCCGTAGCTAGATGTAATTAATTATACTCAAACCGCCTCTGAAATAATGTGGTACATATATAAATTTCATAAAAAAGAAACTAAAATAGTTAATATAATAGTTACTCTTTAAAATGAAGTAAATGTAAAATTGTTTTTTATTTTCAGATATTATGAATTTAATTGATTTAAAGTTAAGGTCTTCTAATGAAACTTATTGCTAAACAATTGTAATGGTTATTTTTAGTTTCGTGCAGTTTCTTCCAATTTATCCAGTTTCTTCCATTTGTGCCCCTTTCATTTTAACCAGTTCCTTCCACTTTGTGCAGTTTCTTCCATTTTGTCCAATTTCTCCCACGGTTCTGGAGAAAATAGGTTTCTTCCGCTTAAAATGCCAACCCTGATTTAAACAAACAATTTGTATTATCCCAATATGCCATATTTTTTAATGGATTAGTTTTAAAGGTTAAGACTCAATGCATACCCGTCACTTATATTCTTTTAAGGGTAACTACCACAGCTCAGTATACCCTACACTGATGTTATTTTAAGGTTAAGTACCACTGCCTGGTGTACTCTACCATACTTTACAATAATAGAGCCACGTATTGAACTGTAAAGTAATTACTCAGGTATATCATGCATTGGGACAATAATTAACGATCTGTCTTAAAATAACTATCTTAGAAATTCTGTTGCAAGATGCAATTAATGGTATTATATTAGTAATCATGATGTCATTAGAAACTTATTTTATCATAATATTAACTTAGAAGCTTGCCTACACTTAATTTTTCTTGACTAATTCAAAATTATGAATAAGTAATAGTATTTAAAAAACCTAAGTTTGCAGCATAATAATGCTTTTAAAATTTTTAATTCAATATGAATTTGATCCAAATAAATATGTTATTAGTGTTATATGAGTAACTTTTGCAAATAAGTGAACTTTTTTTTCTTTTTTTAGTTTCTATCAGTAAAAATTTCTGTCAGTATTTTCTGCATTTCATTTATAAATGTCTTCTTAACTCTAAACTATGATACTGAAAATCACAAATTAGGCTTCATTTATAAAAATGATTTATATTTCAAAGACTTTTGTTTTCATCATCGTTTCTCTCTTTTTAATCAATGTGATTTAAATGCAGGTTCATTTTCCTTTATTAAAAAGAAATCCTACAATTTAAGCATATTAGGGAATTTCTCTTTATTATTATAACGTTATGAGCAATGAAAGAAAGCAGGAAAAAAACTTTTTTAGTCTTCATCAGTGTTCAAAACAAACTTCCTGCGAAACAAACTTGCTTGCATTTGTGTCACATTGATTTTGTTCAGTATTTTCTCTTTTGTTATTGAAGTTCAAATGAAATATGTATAAATAAAATATATGTACTAAAGTATGCAGTCAGCTTGCAACATATATACTTGTTTACTATATACTAACTATTGTGATTTATTGTTATTATTTTTTGGTTTTATTTCCATTGTTTGGGTTGTTTAATGTGATGTTTTTATCTAAAGTTTTCTTTAGAATCTAGTCACAATAAGTTTTATAAATAAAATATAGGGATTTTCTTAGTTTGATGGAAATTTAAAAGAGTATTATTTTGAAATTCTTTTATGAGAATAATATGTAGAGTATAATAAAAATATTTCCTTGTAACATTCCAAGATTAGGCATTCATATAGACTACTTTTAATTTCAAATCATATGAAGTATTAAGTCATGTCCCTTTAGATCTGAAAAGATCTAATAATGTATGTCTTTTTAGATATAGTGCTCTAAGAAGATTTGATAACATACACGAATTTTTAAATCTCAATTAATATTACATAACATGTAATTGGTACAAATTTAAACTATGCAGTTTTGTATTTATTGTGTTTTATTTTTTTAAATTTTATTATAACTTTAGCAATTTGGTTTATATCTAGCTATGAAATCTACTTTAAAAAATAAACTCTTAATAAAGTTATCTGCTCATCTCACATCGAAAAGGTATTTGTTTACTTTAGATGAAATTTCTAATTGCTTTGCCTGTTTGTGTAAAAAATGTGAATTTTAAATATTCACCTTAGTTTTTATTTAATTTATTTTATAATTGCAATCTGGAAATAACTTTTAAAATGTAATTACTTAATATCAATTATTTTTTACTTGCAGAATTATTCATGTTTAGTTGATGGATTTAATATCCTTTAATCGCTGGTTTAATTTCATAACCTTTAATTGCTTGGTTTAATTTCATACTCTTTAATTGCTTGATTTAATTTCATACTCTTTAATTGCNTAATATTAATTATTTTTTACTTGCAAAATTATTCATGTTTAGTTGATGGATTTAATATCCTTTAATCGCTGGTTTAATTTCATAACCTTTAATTGCTTGGTTTAATTTCATACCCTTTAATTGCTTGATTTAATTTCATACCCTTTAATTGCTGGTTTAATTTCATACCCTTTAATATTTTTTAATGTTCAAATTACTTTTTTTTTTATAAAGTGCACTATGTTTTCAAAGTGTTCTATTCTTTATTTTTGTTTGTGACTACATAACTGTTCAATGTTCGTTATATCCTTGAGCAATGCAATTTTCTTTAACCTAAAATTATTCTCATCTCTTTCATTTGATTGATTTCCCAATGAACTGCAAGTTTTTTTTTCTTGCTCTTTTATTAAAAAAAAAAAATTCTGTTCTCCTTATAGATTTCCCACTCTTCATTGATTTTGCGTATGAATAATGTTTTTATTGTAATAGTCATGATTTATTTTTTTCAAATTGTCTATTTTTAATTAAAAATATTTTCATCAGTGTAATACTTATATTAGCTTAGTTTGTCAAAAAATATTTTTACTTATAAATATTTTGGTGTTTTTGTTTTTATTTAATATTTTCCCATTGTAAATATATTTCAGATCATTTGTTCAACAAGCATATTTTTAACATCAACTCAGTTAGTATGACTCACTAAATTGAAAGAAGCTTAGTGTCTGCTATTTTAATCTATTCATTGAAATAATTGATGTCCATGCATGCATTTAAGTTATTATTATTATTGAACAGATTCTCATTTATTTATATAATTTTTTATTATGAACTTGTGTCTATACCATATTAATTTCAATTATGCTTATTTTCAGAATCCAAGCAATTCAGTATCAGAGTAGCTTTTTAAATAATAATAAATAAAAAAATTGGATCAAAAGGGCTTTAGATTTTTTTTTTTTAAATGTGGTCTATCTTCATATTAATATTGTATGCTATTTCATGAATCAACATGGCAAACATTGACTAGAGGGGGACAAGACTTATCTATTCAGTCATAAGTAGCTAATTGACAATTGTTAAAAAAGAAACAAATTTTTTCCTAATATCAGTTATTTTATAAGACAAAAAAGTCTTTTGTAAGAACAGTCTTAATAAATTTTTATGGTTGCCCAACAAAATCTCAGTTAAAAAAATGAAGTATGTTTACTTAATGATTTAACTGAATTTCATTTTAAAAAAATTTGAACCAATCTGTTTTGATCTCCCTTTTTTGTTAACCGTGTAAAATTTATAATTTAATCGTTCTTACATGAATAAGACTATGAAATTTCTTTCTTAGCATTTTTATTACCTTTCAGTCATTATAAAAATGAAATCAAGATTGATGTTGAGATATCTTTATTAGTTATTTTCATTGCCAAATTATTTCTTCATTGGTGTAATCTTTATATTCAAACTTCATTGATTAATATTTTCAATTACTTTTTTATTTCATTTTCTTTTTTTTTTATAGAAATAAGTAAAAAAGATAATAAAACTTCTGGCTGCATTTGTGGTTGTTCAAGCATAGTTCTTTCAGTACTAATGTGAAAGTTCAATAAATTTATTGAAATTTCTAAAGAGAATTAATATTTTTGTTTCTTTTCATAAGTTGGTAGAAACAGTTTATAGTATGCCAATAGTGTTTTACATTTGAAGCAGAATTATCTAAGTATCTTGGGCAAATAACCTCAAACTTTGCGTTACAATGCAAAATATAGTAGCTCATAAATTATAGTACATAATAATATTGGTTTATTTTGGAGTTTGCATGAAAGGTCACACTTAAAAGTTAAATGTGTAAAATAAAAATTTATGTGTATAGTGGAGTTTCCAAAAATAAGTTAGAGAAATGTTCATATAGTACGCCAATTAGAACTTCAATTTTCTGACTTAATGTAGATAAAAGAAAATAAAAATATCAGGATAAAAAGATTAAAATTAGCTTGGCGTTTGAAACTCTTTAAATTTATCGTAACATGTATTTGTATTAGTTGACGAGCATTCAGTTTTTAAACTTGCATTTCAGACTAATTTTTTAGATTATATTTATTTCTGGGCATTTTTTATTGTGTGCATTTTCATTTATTGTTTATAATATCAACTATGATTCTAAATCTGTTATCTCAGGGAATGAACCTTATTTTTAGTAAAAATATTCTTTTTGAACTTACATATTTTTAAACTGCATATTTATAGTATTTATTTGCAAATTTAAAAAAAATTATTTTATTAATATTGATTTATTTTCAACCAATTACTTATTTTTATCAGTATTTAATTTTATTCATTTTTTTAATTATTAGTAACATTAAATTGTTGCAGTTATTGTTTAGCATATTGATTTTACTAAGTTTGTATTTATTCTTGGCGTTTACATATATTTAATCTGCATACATATATTTATATTTACATATATTTATTCATTCACTAGTTAAAAACAATATAGAATTATTTTGAATCACTTTCATGAAAATTTTATTTTATTCAATTTTTATTTATTTGAAACATCAAACTTAAGCAGCTATAGTTTAGTATATTGTTTTATTACATTTGTATTTATCCTTTGCATTTACGTATATTTTACGTGTAATCTACAAATTAAAAATAATTAAACTATTTTCAAGCAATTAATCATTTTTATTAGCAATTTCAAGCAATTTATGACTTTTTTCATATTTTTATTTCTTTATTATTTAATTTTATTTATTTATTTGAAACATCAAACTGTAGCAGCTATTGTTTAGCATATTAATTTCTTACTTAGTTTGTATTCATTCTGTGCTTTTATACAGTTTTTCAAGATAGTATTTCATTAAAAGATTTATACTTATGCTTTGAAAAGGATTGTCTTGACCTTTCCTGAAACAAATGAAATTTTGCTGTTTAATATTATGAACTGTGAAATTTGTGACTTTAAATGTGCTTAAATTCATCAAGTCAAAATCATTGACTCCTTGAATCTATCACCCACCCTAATCCGCCCTTGCTAAGAATGCCTTTCTTTTTCTGTTTATGACGTCCTTAAAATCAAATAATGCACTTTTTTATATAGAATTTATGCCTGCATTAATTAAATGCATTGTACTGTTAAAAATAGTTTATTCATTTACACTTATTTTTTAACTAACTTATTTTATTATTGTAGAATGATTTTTCACAATATATATATATATATTTTNATATATATTCTATGTTTATCGATTTATAATTCATTTCTCTGGATTGATATGTTTTCAAATTGCTTTTATAGTCTTTTTTTTAAATTAAGTAAAATCTCGAAGTATATTTTAAAATATGTTTATTGTTGTAGAATTTCCTGTTGAATAAAATAACCATTCATATTCTAAGTTAAAAACCTGAATTTGACTTGTTTTTTATCATATTTTTTATTACTATCCAAAAGAAAAATCTTTTCGAGAGACATTTCACTTTACTAAGGATTTTTGAGGTCTGAAATTTGAAATCTATTAAATAATTTCAAATCAAAATTTTATGTTTGTAAATTATGGCAATTTTATAATTTTGACTGACAAATTATATTATACGAAATGAATTTCTTCCATTTAAAAATACTTTTGAAGTTCTCATCGCAGTTGGCAACTTCATTTGTGACCTAAAAAGGGGGACCTTTATAAGACAGCCTTCTGTTGTACATATAATGATACTGTAAATTCTGCTATTTTGTGTTGCAGATTGACACAGTAAATTCTGCTCCGGCCCTCTGTTACATATTGATTAGTTAATTCTGCTACTCGACTTTATGCTGCAGATTGACACAATAAATTCTGCTATGGCTTTCTGTTGCATATAGATACAATAAATTCTGCTACCCGACTTTGTCCTGCATATTAACACACTAAATTCTGCAATTTGGTTTATATTTTGGTCATTTCATAAGACCAAAATATAAACCAAACTGTGGAGTCTTAAAAAATAAAATGTGCTTGGCCAATTCTTAGATGCAAGAGAAATTGGAATAACGTTTTGAAAATTATAGAATATATTCGTTAAAGGTCATACTTTTCAAAGTATGAAAAATATTTCTTTCCCTAAAATTGGTTACTGATTTTAAAAAATACGACATATTTGTTGGTTCTCTAAAGTAATTGCGGCTAGTATTTTTTTATAGCTAAATAATTCAAATTTTTAAGACAGACTTATTATAATATATTAATTGTACTATTTTTATGTTTTTGTTCATTTACGCTATGTGTTGAGCATAATTTGCTAATTATTATAGCCAAGGAATATACCATTTAATCTTTCTATAGAAAAATTTATTATGTAATGCATTTCTTACTAATAAAAGTTTTTGTGTTGGAAACACAAACAATATTTCATTAAACAACTTGTTTGCTCATTTAATGCAGGTTGTAACATAATTTTAATTGAAAAATGATACATGGAAACTATTTTTAACTATTTTATAATGGTTTACAATTGTTATAAAATTTCTTCATTTATTTTAAGTTGTACTATATGTTTCAAATTTTTTATATGAACAAATGAATTTATTGTATGTTTCAAAATTTTAAAGAATTGTTTCAATAAATTCTTCCCCAAAATTAATAGTTAGTGGTTTTTTTATAAATTTTATATTTAATACTATTAGTTTTAACTATTTTGCATAATGTATTTCACTAACTACGGGAACTTTTGATATGCAACACTTAATTATAAGCTAAGCTTTTTTTTTAATTTTTTTTGAAGGTGCCTAGCTGAATTATCAATAAGAAAAAAAACATAAGACTGGCAAGTGTTGAGAATGGATGGCTATTTTTTAGCGCTTGAAACGCGTTGGGCTTTTATTTCCATTCGCATGTATTATTTATGTTTTATTAATCAAATAAGGTAAATTTCTGTTGGTTAATGACAACGATTTATAAACTTGTGCAGAGAATGAAATAAAACAGGATGNTCCATCTTTGAAAATTTGATTTCCGGAAGCTTTTGTGATCAAGGATTTTTTGAAACGTCTGAACCTTCGATCTCCGGAAATCCGGATTTTTTCCGGAGCACAATCAGCCCTGCAAATAATAATGAAAAATTAAGTGTTTATAGCTTTCTTTGAAAATCTCATTACTCAGAAACTTTTGTATTTTGTTATTTAAAATTACTTACTTTAATATGGTGTAGAAATTTTTATACTTCAAATTTAAAAATAAATAAATAAATCTGTGCCAATAAAAATTCTAAAAAAGATTTTAAATAAATATATATTTTTTTTGATAAATATGCACATGGAATTATCTTTGGATAAACGAATTTTATAATTGCATACAAAAATTTGTCGACACACATAAAAATTTCTCAAAATATGACGGAAAAAAATTTACATCAAGGGGCCCCAAATTTCCACCCCTTACCTGACTAAAATATTGGGCGCATATTTTCCTTCTAGCAACTATCCGCTGAGTTGTGATGACTCAGCGCATAGAGCGCTTGCCTCCCAATGAGAGGCTGGTCAATATGAATTCTCGCTCACACTGACTTTAGTGTTGACAAAAAATATTCTCAGTGGTAGATGGATCATGAGCTTGAGTCCCGTTGCCATCAGGCTAACCACGGGAGGTTATCTTGGTTTTCCTCTCCATGTAACGCAAATGCGGATTAGTTCCAGCAAAAAGTCCTCCGTGAAGGTAAATTTCTCCTAATTACACAATCCAGTTGTTCCCTTGTCTTCTGAATTGGGTTCAAAATTACAAGGCTACAGAGTTGGACACTGATAATTGTAAACTCAAAAATTGGGTTGGCTAACGACGATTATAAAAATAAAATAAAATTTCCTTTTAAAAAATAAACAATTTAACATTTTTTCTTTCCTTCGGACTATAATCTTTTTCGTCCTGGGTGATAATTAAAAGAGAAAATAAATTAACTTAATTTTAAAGTGTAAATATATGCACAATGATGTAATATGAGTAAATGATGTAATCAGAGTAGTCCAAAACAACATATTTTATTAATTTTTGGAGACATTTAAAAAAGCAATTTTGCAACAATGGAGCAGATCGTAGAAATTATTTCACATAAACTATAATTACAAATAGTTACCAGTAATTCAAGTTTTATTGCAGCACAAATTATTGACCAATGATGCAATCATTTATTTTTATTGACAAATTGAATTAAAATAAAAATTATTCATTGCTATTATGAAGTAAAATTTATACTTCGAACCTACTCCACTCTAATTTCAAACAACATGGAGTAAATTTGAAGAAAAAAATTGCAAAAAGAGTATTTTAAAGCACATAGGAATTAACACAAATTTAAAAAAAATTTTAGCAATATGAGTGGCAATACCTACACAGTATGAAATTATGTATGCATAAATACAATGTTTATATGCTTCAGTCGATTCTACTTATTGCATCACACGTTAAATTATTATTTCATTTTATCTGGCATACTTATGAGATAAGCAATTTAATCAGCTTCAATGGCTATCGATTCTATTTATTGCATCACATGTTAAATTATTATTTCATTTTATCAGGCATACTTATGAGATAAGCAATTTAGTCAGCTTTAATGGCTATCGATTCTATTTATTGCATCACATGTTGAATTATTATTTCATTTTATCAGGAATACTTATGAGATAAGCAATTTAATCAGCTTTAATGGCTATCGATTCTATTTATTGCATCACATGTTACATTATTATTTCATTTTATCTGGCATACTTATAAGATAAGCAATTTAATCAGCTTCAATGGCTATCGATTCTATTTATTGCATTATATGTTGAATTATTACTTCGTTTTATCAGGAATACTTATGAGATAAGCAATTTAATCATTTCATTTTTGTATTATATATACAGTTTACCATTATGAGAATAGTGAATACAATTTTTTCACCATTTAATGGGGAGGAGGGGGGGTTAAATTTATTTAATGCATAACAAGTTTAATACATTTTTTTTCTGGAATAGTGCAGGGTTCCCACTCAATTTTGTGAGGAAAAAAAATTCCCTGACTTTTTCAGGTAAATTTCTATGAAAGTCGAGACCACGTTTTATCTATATCAGGTAATTTTTCATCAGATAATTTTTATTCTCTTATTTGTAATGCCAAATATTAGGTTTTCTGTGTAAAAAAATATCATTAAACGAGGATGAAAACATTTCAGTCTAACTTAAATGTTAAATTTTACAACAATTATAATAGATGCAGGGTTGCCACAGAAAAAAATGAACAAAATAGTTGCTTTTAGTAGCCTAAAGCATGAAAATAATTGCTGAACCTAAATTCATCAAAATATGACTAAAATTTTATTAAATTATTTAAATGTCACATACCATGATACATTTAGTCAAGTTGGTAGCAAATATGATAATATTTATATAAATGTTAGTGTTCTAGCACTAAATTTTCACATAAAAAAATTAGAATATTTTCAGAAAATTAAATACTTTTAATTACTAGAATTCATTCAAAAAATACTTTTTCATTAAAAATTCCCTTTTATCAAAAATTACTTTAGCAAATATATATATATATTGTGAAAAGTAATTACTCAAATTTAAAATTCACTGATAATATTGTATTAAAAAATTTTATTTTAAAAAAAAACAAGCAGAATTTCGCAACAATAATCACCGAAAAGGTTATCCAGAAACAAAATAGAATTACAACAGAATCTGTGCAAATTGAACGAATTAAAAAGTAATGACTCAAATTTGCAATTCAAAATCTTTTTTTTTTTAAGAAAAGAAAAAATTCAGTGTGTTTAGAAGCTCCCGAGGACTGCAGGTTTTCAACCAATTTATGCTAAAAAAAACATCTTCAGAAGTACAGAAAAGTCACCCAATAGTGTCCTTTTCTTAAATATAGTTGTTTTTTTTAGTCTTTTCAGGTAAAAAAAGTTGCAACAGTCGCCTCATGCCGAAAATAGTTACATTTTAGTCGTCTGGGGCAACCCTTTGTTAGAATTATTTAACTCGAATCTCAATAACTGATTTCTGTTATCGACAATTTCAAGATTGGTAACTTTCTAGGTTTTTGTAAAAAAAAATTGCGATTTCCCCCAACTATTCCCTGTTCTCACTGACCCGTGGTAACCGTGCACTAATGAGCTATGCAATGAAAGCTCAATTTCGTGGATGTTTTATTTACATAACTGATAGATGAACACACTAAATACAATATTTCCATCCTTCCTTGGCAATTGATCTCGGTATTCCATAATAAAAAGCTTTATAGTATTTTTCTTTATCTGGAACACTTATGAGACACACGGTGAAAGCACAATCACACGGATGGATATATGAACAGTAAATACAATATTTTCGTCATTCAATGGCTATTGAATGTATTTATAAAATAATAATTTTTTTAAATTTATTTACCTTTTAATTTTTAACACTCATAAGACGTATAACGAAAGTATAATCTCATGGATGAATTATTTACATCATCAATTTATGAACAGTAATATATAAATAGTAAATACAGTAGGGAACCAATTATCCGGAACGGTCGGGACCATCGCTATTCTGGATAACTGATTTTTCCGGCTTTCTGAATCGCTACAAAAAGCCGTTTTTTTATTGTTAAACCCAACTAAAAAAAAAAAAAAATTGGAAATAATCTTAAAAATAAGAAAAAACGATGAAGTAATACACTAATGATTATTTCCAAAATGATGGTAAGGTAAACATCTTTAAAAAAAGGAAAAAAAATCGTAAAATCATATGAGGGGAAATTTTTTTTTTTTAAAATAGCGAGAAAATGTATTGAATTTCGTTCCGGTTTTTTGGTTTTCCGGATAACGGGTTCTGTACTGTACATTATTTCCGTACTTCAATGGCTATTGATTTCGGTTGTTGCATAATAACAAAATTCATATACAGGGTGTAAAAAAGGTTGGTATCAGTCAAATATCTCGAGAAATATGGGTCGGATCGAAAAGTGAAACTAGAGAAATATTCAGAATTTTAGGTACTTTGGGATAATCTGGTCAACCATTTCCGCACTTTGAGATTATCCCGTCAATCATTTACATACTTTGAGATTATCCCATTCTGCCAAACGCAATATCGCCAAAAGCTAGCTTCTGCACCAATAACTACAAATTTTATCATATTTACTGTGTAATCCTAACTACTGGAGTTAGTTTTCTTTAGTGTGTTGAAATATGCTGCTTTTTTTACTCCACTGCAAAATGATTTGCATTCGGTATTTACCTAGCACCGAAGAGAGTGTTGTGGCATATTTTCAAGCATTTTTTTTTTTGTAGTTTTAATTAAAATTTAATGTGTTGAGAATGTTTACTTTGGAAAATGCTTTTCATTACGATGGTGCCAAAGGATTTGTACATTTTAACGAGCGTTGACAGATCGACAGGATAGTACCAATTTTGTAAAAGTTATCCTATGATACCAAACTCTGTCTTTCATCCTCATTCCCGGGGACAGGTTAAATCTTAATTTCTTAAATATGAAGTCCTATTTTTTATTCCAGAAAAAAGTAACCCTATTTGTGCATAGGCATATGCATTTTGTTTCATAGTTGGCGCTGTAACCGAGAAAATAAAATAGTGTATAAACTGTTTTAAATGGTGGTATCTCGAGAGATTGAAAAAATGTGTTTATTTTTTAGTTCTCAAATGTCTTTATGTTTTTCTGTTATTGAAAAAAAATTTATACGTGTCTATTTATATACTTTAAAATCTGAGAGGTCTAGAGATTTGTCATTTTTAACATTTTTCAAACTCTATTTAATTTTACTTGATTACAACATAATTCATTATGTGAAGCATTACTTTTTTCTGAAGAATCCAAATCTGCAACTATAAAAAAAAAAATAGTGGTTCACATATAAAATTCTAAAGTTGCCCAACACCTTGTCATTTTTAACATTTTTCAAACTCTATTTAATTTTACTTGATTACAACATAATTCATTATGTGAAGCATTACTTTTTTCTGAAGAATCCAAATCTGCAACTATAAAAAAAAAATAGTGGTTCACATATAAAATTCTAAAGTTGCCCAACACCTGCCTCCAACGGGTGAGTTTAGTATCATTGGATAGCTTTTAAAAAATATTGATTATTCGATCCAATGTATATTTATCGAGATATTTGACCATTTTTAAATTTTTTTTTTTTTTACATCCTGAACATATTTTTTTACATGGAACATTCATGAGACATGGAATGAAAGCATGATCTCATGGATGGATTACACTGGAAAAAATTTTTGTTGTTGTTGTATTTATACAAAGACTTGATCTTGCATAATTCGAGCGAGGTGATTTCAAATTAGTTTAGCTCCTAAAAATACATATTTTTTTAATGATATTTTTAATCTACTTTTTGTACACTGGGGAAAATCTTTTTTGTTGCATTTATACAAAGACTTGATCTTGCCTAATTCGAGAGAGGGAATTTCAAACCTGAAATTAGTATAGCTCCTAAAGCTATGGATTTTTTTTTAAATGATATTTTTGATCTATTTTTTTTTAATTGAAGTATACCATTTTAAAAATGTTATACATAACAAGGAATCAGGTAAATGCTGCAACAAACTTCAAGAAGAATTAGGGCACATTATTAAGATTGAAATAGAATAGGAACCAATGCCCAGAAATGTTGTTCTGCAAGGCTAGTGGCGATTTTCTATTCAGAAGCACACATAGAATCAATTCATAATAAGAAAGCGCCTCTAGTAGTGTATGACGACATTTCCAGGCATGGGTTCCTATGCGTTTTCAATCCTTATGTGCCCGAACTTATCTAGAAGTTTGTCAGAACATTTACAAGATTCCCTGTTACATATAGCGTTGTACATTTTGACTAAAAAAAAAGTGCTTTTTATAAACATTTAGTAGCTTGGTGACAGAAACAGATTTGAAATCAGCAATGTGAAAATATTCAGTATCCATTAAAAAAACAAAACATCTGTTCCCCAGTGTTATCAATATATCTTCATATAATATTTTCACTCTTAAATGGCTATTGAATCTATTTATTGCATAATAAAAAGTTTATGTATATGTATTTATCTGGAGCACTCATGAGACATATAATGAAAGCATGATCTCATGGATGGATTATTGACCTCATCGATATGTGAACAGTTGGGATCTTTAAAGCAGTTGCTAGAGCACCGGAAATCTGCTTTCACAGTAATTGATGGATTGTAAGGAGGCATAAGAAATGCATGCAAACCGATAGAAGAAATGTTTGTATCTCTAACACAAATATATGATAATTTCGGAACAGCATCTTTCTGACATTTAAACAGTGCACGATCATTGATGAGTGTATGACCTATGAACAATTCTTTAATCTTAGCACAGTTATCTAAAATAATATGAACCCCTTCGTTAGATATATCAGTACCTTCTACATCTAAAGTTTCTAATTGAGGAAGAATCTCAATCAGGGATTCAATACCGCCGTTGTTAATTCGAAAGCAGCCTTCGAAATATAAAGCCTTTAGGCATTTGAAGGTTGTAAGAATGTGCAAGTCTTGACTAGTTAAAAAATTATTGCAGCCTCCCAGATCCAAGCAAGTTAAATTAGGCAAAGAAAGGTGGGGCTGAGATCCGAAGAATGTACTAGGTGACAATTCAGACTCTCGGATACTCAGGTGAAAGATATTGGGAGGTAAATCACTGATAGATACATTCGGCAAAGAACAAGACACCAGGATAAGCTTCTTGAGGTTTGGACTTTTGTTTGATATTTGCCAAAAGCATGACTTCTTCACAATAACAAGAGAGAAAGGATTCATTGGACTATTGTATTTTGGCTTGAGTAGATGGAATTCTTGTAGGTTGTTAGTGAAATGGTTATTAATGAGGCTTAGAAAGAATCTTTCTTGGAGAGGCTTCTTTACAACAATAATTCTTTTAAGAGTGAAATCGTCAGACAAAATTCTCCATCTTTGGCAAACCCTTAAAGACAATGTATATGCTTTATTATATTTGAAATAAAACATTTTGACCACAAAACATAGAAACTTAGATACAGAAGTAGAATTTACAATAAATGAATTCATAATCACAACCCTAGCAACAATTTTACCTTAGCCCCAGTTTGGCTGACAATTGGCTCAATATAGGTCCTATATGAACATGCACCTAGGAACCAACATTGGTATGTCTAGGTCCTATATAGGGACAGATATGAGACCTATATTGGCTGGTTAATAAACATAAAATATAGAGTGAATTTGATAATTATCAACAATACTTTACCAATATCAGCCGGATATAGAATTAATTTTATATAGGGCTGATATTGGTGGTAAAGTGGCTATAAAATATCGGGTAAATCGGACAATTCTATTTAGGGCTAATATAGGGGAAATAACGGCTCTTTGAAACCCTATTGAGCCAAGATGTGAATATTGGTCCAAAATATATTTACAAATAATATTATTATAGGTAAATACCAGAAAAAATATATACAAATGGAAAATATGCCAAATATAAATTCTAGTTTTAATATGTCTAAATAAATATACAAGAATATTTATACATAAATGTAATCCATGATTTCTTGAAACTTCTGGACATTTGGATTTCCATAAACTTCTGAATTGCAATTAGCGAAAAATCCAGATTTTTTCCGGAGTACAATCATCTCTGCTTAACTAAATTTTTGTGCCCCATTTACGATTTTAAGCATATTTAATGTGATACAGCACATAAGCGGAATTACTGCAGGAATTATTTCCGCACAAATTCTTTTTATAACTTATTCTGCAATAAACATCAACTCACTAAATTGTATTGACAAAAATAATTTTTTATAAAGACAATATTCATAACCACCCCTATTGAGATAAAATGTGTCATTACTGCTTGAGGCTTATATATATATATATATCATAAGTGCACAAAAACAATATAATCCATAATGAAATACACTTTCGCAAAATCTTATGTTATAAAATAAATTTTTATCCCTGTGGCAGAATTTTTTCGAGCTTTCTGCAACAATTTTCTCTAGTACTAATACCTTTCTGAAAATAATTTTTGATAGTAACAAATACATATATATATTACTAATTTCAACAACAACAATACTAACAGAAGCATTTCCTGTTTACAAAATTTTTTTTTTAAAAAAAGCCTTTATATACAGAATAGAACAGTATTATAATTTTTTTAATTATATAAATGCAAGAATTTTTTTACTATACATATTCTGCTATTATTAGCAATATTCTCCTGTTCTAAAATTTTTTTTTATGTAATTAACTTTGTAAAATTTAATCTATATTTGGAAATTACTTCTTATAATATCAATCAGTCATTGTGGAATTTTTTTTATTCTTAAAGCAAAGTAAAAAAAAAAATTATGAGCGTTTCTGCTATCTCTGAAATGCGGTAAAGGCATTTTTTGAAAATAATTCTGCACAAAAAGAAAAAAAAAGCTCTGCAGAAAGAAAAAAAAAATCTTTCCAAATATACTACAGATAAAAAATATTGAACTTTTTTGCTTCCCAAATAAAAAATCCTTCTGCAAAAATCTCTGCAATGTTTTGCAACAAGAAACAAACCACTGGTGAAACTTAGAAATAATAATTTTATTGTAATGATAGGAATCTATTTTGTTTGGTTGTTTTCTTACAGTAATGCATTCAAAAGAACATGCTTTTATATACCAATTTTATACTAGTATATTTTTCATTAAGATACAAAGGTAAATATACTTCTAAAAATAAAAATGCTCTTAAATAAATAAATCTTGATTATATTTTGCAAATTAAGAGCTGAAAAATAATTTTTAATTAAAGTATTAATGTTCATGGCTGTCAAAATTAGGTTTCATTTCAGATGCAGTATATTTTGATGAACTCAACAAAATTTCCTCAAAAAGCAAGAAAAGTGTATTAGTTTTTTTTTTTTTTAGTTTCTTGCAGGCCTGGAAATTGTCAAGACTTGGTGATTATTCTCGCACAAATCACGATACGGAAATCTCTCCGAGAAGTTTAACAGTCATAACTGTTAAGCGAGTTTTCTAAATTTGCTCTATGTTATTACATTTTGCTCGATTCTAGAGTTTTTAGTTATAACATTTTTTTATGTTTTTTTTCAGTGAAAAGTTCTTTAAATTACACCTACTTAAATTTTAAAAATCATTTACTTTTCTTGTAAAAACAATCGCGAGTAAAAATTATAGTCTGGCAATACCTTTAGAATGAAAATTCAAGCACTGTACTATTATAATGAATAACCATTTATAAGATATACGAATTACTCTAGCTTGTTAACTTACCTGGAACACATACAGAGTTCACTGTAATCTAGTCTAGAAAAAATGTCCAATAAAATAGAATCGGGTATCTTATCCATAATTATTTTTTAGAATGGTCTAAATTAACATAAAACTGTAATTCAGCCGGTATCACAGATTGATAAGAGGGAAAAAAAAGTTATAGAATTATTGGCTCATATTTAATGGTCTAAAAATTTAAGCTACAACAGTTAGAGAAGTAAATGAGGATATTAGTTACTAAATGCGATGAAAATTAGCAAAGATCAGAGATTTTTAATAAAGATTTGTGAGATGAGAGATGCTCAAAGAGTATGATGCTGATGAGTATGTTTATATTTGTTAATTAGCGTTGGACTGCTTACTTCTGCCTGAATCAACTCCTGTTACGGTCTACCAGCCTTAGCCAAAGGGAATTTTGATAAGATTCTGATTTCAAACAAAGCTATAAGCAAACATCTTCAAAATAAATAAAGCACATGATTTCTGATCTTTTATCAATATAATAAAAAAAAAATACATTTTAGTATTTTTGTTCCTATATAGGTTTTTATAAATATGGAGTGTCTAAATATTCTGTTAAATGATTATGTCTCTCGAGATGCAATTATTCGAACCTGTAGTTATGCATCCCTGCTATTAAGTGAATACTCAAGTAAAGATACTTCAAGGAAGTTGAAAATTATAAGTACAGAACTAAGTTACTGTAGATTACTAAATCGCCTTTTTGATGATGTATCGATGCTAAAGTATACACTTCAGTATGGTTTAGGATCAAAAGTTTGTAAATTATCTTCTGATTATAACATTAGTTTTCATTTCATAATATTTATTTTAGACGAAGAGTTCGGTGTTAATTATCTTTTTGACGCATAGTAATTTCATAAAGCTTTCCTTTCTCTTTTCATCTGTCTATTTTGTAAGAGAAATAATTTCTGTATCGTGATCTGTGGCAGAATAATTACCAAGTCTTGACAACTTCCGGGCAGCGGCCTGCGAGAAACTAAAAAAAACATCACAGAAACGGACCAACTCGAAATATATAACTCATGGGGATACTTGTGTATCGTGATCTGTACCGCTAACTACAATCGTCAATGTTCCAAACAGATTTTAAACTTGCAAATTTTTAAAAAAAAGCATGTAGCTGTTTGCCCGGGAGTGGTTAGGAGTTGGTTGGGAGTGGTTACCTTTCAAGTTGGTTCCTTTCTGTGATTTTACTTTTTTACGGCCCACTGCCCGGAAGTTGCCATGACTTGGAGATCATTCTGCTGCAGATCAAGATATGGAAATCTCCCTTAACTCAACGTCACCCCTGGGCAACATCTACATGTTTTATTTTTTTTTTAATTTGTAAGTTTAAAATGTATTTGGCACATTGGCGATTGTAGTTAGCATGACAGATCATGATATGGAAATATCCCCATATTTTTAAAATGCATAAAAATGTTATTGTATCAATGGAATAAGAAGAGACTTTTTGTATTGAGCACTGTGAAAGGGTTGATCTAAATAGTAGGTGCTGACGGTTTGAAGAGGTTTGAGAAAACTATTTTTATCAGCCCAGAAATCCCCCCTTATGATCTACATCCAGATACTCAAATAGCAATGGAAAAAGTATACACCTCTAGTACTGTGAATTTTTATAGTAATCACCACAAAATCCCCTCCCTGTGAATGAAAAACTTTGTATTGTTTGGAAGATTTTGGTATTGGTACCTGCATCAAAAATGTCTCTAAATCTAGGAAACAGTAGGTCAACGACTCAAAACTGAAAAGCACATCACTTGAAGAGTAACTATAATTCATAGCCACCTTTGGGCAAACAACTTATTATTTCTTTCTTACATTTTCTGTATATAAAAACCTTTTGGTGCCTTAGTGATAGTAGTGATAGGAACACAGACTAAAATGGAAGTATCCCCAACTTTTTGTTAAACACGAGCCTTGCTCACGTTTAATTGGCTCAGTCCAGATGAATTATTTTCTATTCTAGTCTAGTTTCAGCCTTGATGTTAATCCCTGTGGCAGAATTGTGGCCACACGGTGACATTGTCGCCAAATATTACCGAATTCTTGCAGAAAGAATTTTAATTTCTGAAGCAAAAAAGATTAATTTTTTCATCTGCAGAAATTTTGGAAAGATTTTTTTTTTCTGCTGAGTTTTTTTTTTAAATTTTCTGCAGAATTATTTTCAAAAAATGCCTTTCTCACATATCAAAAATGGAAGAAATGCTCATGATTTTTTTTAAAAAATTTTGTTTTGAGAATAGAAAAAAAAATTCCTCAATGACTGATATTTTAGAAAGTAATTTCCAAATCAAAAAAATTTTTAAAAGTTAACTGCACAAAAAATTTTTTAGAACAGGGGAATATCGCCATTAATATCAGAATATGTATTTTTTTATGTGTATGTTAAAAATAAAAATTCTTGCATTTATGATTAAAAAAATTATATACTGTTCTATTCTGTAGTTGAATGGGTTTTTAATTTTTTTTTTTTGTAAACAGGAAACACTTTTGTTACTTTAAATTAGTTTATTAGTAGTTATACATATATATATATATATTTGCTACTATTAAAAATTATTTTCAGAAAGGAATTAGTACTAGAGAGTATTGTCGCTGAAAGCTCGAAGGAATTCTGCCACAGGGACATTAATTAAGATTAAAGTAAGATTGCCATTTTAAAGTGAATAGTGAAACAAGGTTATATAGGATCACTATCATGTTAAAAGATGAACATTAGCCTGTAGTGAAGAGATATGTCAAAGAATGAAAAATTTTTGTTTGGTATCAGAGGTGTGCAAGAAAAATATGTTATGCCACTTGGAGGGAATAGAATCTCTTCTACCAGGTTGTTTTGGGAAACTTTAATTGTCAGCATTCACAGCATTATAAGATTTTCTTCAGATTAAGATTTGTCAGCATTGCAGTTTTATAAAAAAAAATTTATAGATTTAGTGACTTAACAAAGCAACATTGTTTTTATTGAAAGTTTTGCTTAATAATTTCATTTAGAAATTAAAACCTTTATACAGCTTCTAGTTTTAGAAGGACTTGTGTTTTGATTTTTATGACATATTTATGATAGAATAGTATATTTCTTTTGCAGGAGAATGGCAAACTCTTACGCTTGATTTCTGTTCTCTTGAATATTGTTGACCAACTCTATTTCCCAGTGGAGCATTTTGCTTGGGCTGCTGATAAGAAAATTATTGCTGCTGATAGTAGTATTCTTTATAACCTCTCTTCTGGTCTTTGGGCATTATCATGTTACTTAAATATTCTGAGGTGTGTAATTATTTTCTCATTATCTTGAAATTTTATTAACTAATTTTCAAATGCTGAAAATATTGAATTTAAATTAAACTTAAATAAAAATATGATGCGTGTTTTTTTAGGAAATATTTTCACTCATTTGGGAAAACGTGCTACTTTTTTAAAATATGTTAACATATAGTATACATAGTTACTAATTTTAAGAATTGAACAGGAAAGAATTTAGGTGGCCATTCAAAGATTTATTGTAATTAATTTTTTAAGATCACTTAAAGAATCGACTTGGAAAAGTGATTTTTTTTCTATACATACATTTATTTTATTATAACATATGAATAATATGCTTATTTCTTCAGCCCTGTGGCAGAATCGCGGCGACACAGTGACATTGTCGCAGAATGAAATAGAGTTCTTGCAGAAAGATCTTTGTTTAGGGAAGTAAAAGATTTTGGTTTTCTTTTCTACAAAAATTTTAGAAAGATTTTTCTTTTCTGCAGAATTATATTCAAAAGATGCCTTTCTCACTTATCGGAGGGGAAAGAAATACTCGCGATTTTCATTTGAGAAGTAAAAATTCGATAATGACTGGTTTCAGCAAAATTTCAAATGGATAACATACTATTATTATTACAATTGTTGATATTCTTGTGCTTTTTTTGGAAAAAAAAAATCATGATACTGTTACGGCACGCAAAGTTCGAATCGCGGATTCAAGAAATCACTTTTTAACGTGCCCGGTTAGCACCAATATCATAGTTGATCCATGCAGTGTTTCAATTGTCAACCTTCGACAGTTATTACTACTAAATTCCGCATTTGAAAATATACTTGATGTTTTTACTCTCTTTTATATAAAACATACTGGAATTTTTTGTGTCTTGTTAATGAACAAGTTGAGTGCCACGCCAGTCATCCGTTACTAACACTGTAAAATATTATATGAAACTAAAAAATTTACATTGTTTTAAGCAACTACTGAAAATGTATTTAAAATTTACTTGATTTTTCTTATGGCAAATCAAATTTCAGTCTGTTAATAATAGTGTGCTTCTAAGCAATGTATGTGGCTTGATGGGGATTTCCCTAAAAAGTACACGAGGCATTCATCATGTTAATTGTTACTATTTCTTAACCTGTTGTTGTAATTTTCTGCTTTATTTTTAATTTCAGATCGTTACTCACACTGAGTCGATTAGAATCTTGCAAGAATTATTCAGACAATGAGTAAGCATATATTTAGATATTTCCATCAAAAATGCACAGTTTATTCCCTGCAGGCTACAAGTGGCCAACAAAGACCTGACACATGGCCTCTAAGCTGTCTTAAATCTTATTAAATGCATATATCTTCATATAAAAGAAAAATAAGAGAAAAAAAATTTTCAGCCATGGTTAGTAACAATAAATTTCTGAACTAATACAGCCTCTCTGAAGACTGTGAAATTGCAATTAATTTCAATCACAACTATTACACTAATACAGTACTAGGGCCAGGATAGCCTGGTTGGTAGGACACTGGTTCCATGTCCTAGAGGTCGTGGGTTCGTACCCGGCTGACCGAAGACTCCTGTGCAGTAAATGGTGACTGATGCATGTTAAATCTGTCGAGTCGCAAAGACCTCCATGTTAGCAAATCTTAAATTCAAAATTACATGGCTACAAAGTTGAACATGAGTAGTGGTAAACCCGAAATTGGGTCGGTTCTTCAACGACGGATAAAAAAATTTAAAAATATATAATGAGTCAGTGACTGATATTAAGAGGTTCTTTTCATTTAATATCCTCTTTTTTAAAACCTTTTTTTGCTTGGATTAAATTATATATTTTTTTAAAAAATTCATATTAGGAGTAACTTAAGGCTATAAAAAGTTGATTCATAAATAAAAATAATATAAATATGGGGCAAAATTTAGTTGAACATACTGACTTTAAGAAACATAGTTTTAAAATATTTGGGGAGGCAAAGTACATTTAATGTCCTACATTACAAATTTGAAATACAGTCGGACTTCTATTTAACGAACTTCCATTTTGCGAATGTCTCTATTTTGTGATTTTTCTCCGAGGAACCAAGAACATTTTGGAGTTTTTGTTTGTAAAATAACTTCCAACAAGCATAGTGAATTTTCTATTTAATGAAATTTTCCTTGATACTCATTTTACTTATTTCCTAAAATATTTCAGAACATTTCAAACTTGTCAACGATTTTTATGGGGTAAATGACCTTTAATTAATTTTCGAAGCTATTTAACTTTTAGAGAAAGCAGTAAAATCCCTTTACCTTTTTGTTTGCATTTCAAACAAAAAACTAAATTAACTGATTTTATCTGTAGAAATTAAACTTAAGAACGCATATGGTGATGTATGCTAAAAATTACTTTTATAATAAATGCAACTATAATTTTATTCAGAAATTTAGCTTTTGCTTAGTTGAAAATGTAAGAAAATATAATTAGGCAGGGTCGGAAAGTTTTTGACAATTAATGGTTTTATCTTGTTTTAACCGTCAGGTCAAAGAACCTTTTGGCATTGTTTTGAACAATGATCAAAAATCATTAAATTTTGAATCATGTAAAACGAATGGCGTTTTTATACGCTATGGACTGACTAACGCCAAAATAGATTGAGGTTGAATTAGTTGTGAAAACGTTGAATAGAACAATGTGAACTCTGTCTTTTTGCATAATTCACAGTGAAAATCAGCATAGTGAAGGAAAAATCTCATTTTGAAAGGGGGAAAATTAAACACTTAATGAAAAAAAGCACCTTTAAGGGCTTTTAAAAAACGAAAATCGAAAATAAGCACATTTAAGCACTTTTTAAAAGTGCTATGCACCCTGACTCTTATTTCACAAGAATCTTTCCATCATAAATTGAAAAAATTTTGATTCTGTAAGATTTTGATTCTTGTAAGAATTTTACTTCAAAATTTTAAATGGAGACATTGGAAATTTTAAAGAAAATTCTTTCTTGCTGAGTCTTTCTGCATTGTTGTACTTTTATCATTAAACAATTAAAAAAGAAAAGATTGAAAATGTGAATGGTTGTTAACTTAAGTCACTGCATGGCGGATGGCAATCGGCTATTTTCAGATCTACTAATTTATAGGAAATCAATCATTAATATTAGAGATGTACAGTAATTTCTGAGGATGAGCCCAAAAAAAAAGGGTATTATTTAGATTCTTTTTGAAAATAATATCTTATAAATGGATCACTAATTTTCTTCTATTGGATGCATATAATAAAAATATAATATTTAATGTAAATAAATATTTTCATTTATTTATTCATATGCAGTTACAAGTATAGAATTACAAGAATTGTAGCTGCGGTTACAAAATTATACAGCAAATTATAACAACGAACGAAGAGATATAGAGAAAGGAAAAAGTAGAAAATTAAAATTTTTATTTACACCTGAATGTAACTTTCACAGTTATTCATAAAACAATATTTGTTAATAATACAGTACTCTATTATTATCTTTTTTTTAAACTGTGGTTGAACAGTTGGCCCAATTTTGGGTTTAGGACTACTAATGTCCAACTCCGTAGCCTTGTAATTTTGAACCAATCTAGAAGACAAGGAAACTCTCGGATCAGTACCCCCAGAGGTATGATTTGCTAACATGGAGGACTTTGTGATTCCACAGATTTAACGTGCACCAGTCACCATTTACTGCACCACTTTGGCCAGCGGGGATCAAACCCACTCTTGAACATGGGTGCAGTGCCCTACCAACTAGGCTATCCCGGCCTGATTCATTATGTTTGGGGGAAAAGTGTCTACAGGCTGAAAATGTCAATTTTCAGGTCTACCCTACATTGAAAATGCAATACGAAAAAAAAAGACCTTTTTTATTTTTCCAAAAGGACAAAATTTTATCATAAGATCTCCCCATTTTGTTGTTTAAGTATTTGTAGCTTTCTTATTTTCAATTTCATACTTTTTCAATACTTAAGGTAAAGGATTTTATTTTTATCACTCTTCAGACATATTTATTTCTCTGCCCAGCAACCCTGTTTTTCCCACGTTATCTCTCAATGCTAAATATTGGCCGTCACTGTTTTTGTTGTTCATTTTTGTGTTACATTTTGTTTTGGTGTGCAAAATTTATAAGACTAAGAAATTTGGAATTAAGAAGGTGTGTTTAACATTCGATAGTTATCAACTGTTAAACTTGTAGTGAAAAATAATGCGCCAACTGTAGAAATGAAATTATATAGTTGAAATTTCAGATTCTAATAAGGCTCTTTCTATTTATGAACTTAACACAGGAATTTTTTTTCAAAATTCAAACTTCTTTGAAAGTTATTGCAATTTTAATTGCTCTTTTTGCACTTAGTTTGCTTTAAATACTGACTTTTTACTCGTTATAAAAAACTTTTTTTGTCTCTCTCGAGCTCATGATTTTATAAGTTCGCAATTCAGTTGTAGTGAAAATGAAAAGAGAGAGAGAAAACCCAGATTAAATATTGATATTTTTAAAATTATTAAAAAGAGATGAAGCAATAAAAAATATTTCTTTCATATGAGTTTTTATAATGATAAAAACCTTTTTAAATGAGTAAAACAACTTATTTATTTCTTCTTATTGAGTCACACAATTTATATTCTTAAGTTTAAATTTTTTTTACCAAATATAGTTAATTTTTTTTAAAAATATAGGTAATCAGTCATTTCTTTATGACTACTATATTAACAAAATGTTCTTACATAAACATTACAATTTTATACTTTATTTACAAAATATTTCTTGTTTCAGTAAAGAATGTTGAAATTTTAGAATAAAATAATGACGAGGAAGACACTATCACTAGGGGGAGGGGTTGTAAGCAGAGTCTCTATGTTAGATATAAAAGAACTAGTGTACAATGCAGAAAATAAAAAACGGACCACCCTGAATAACTTTTAATCTAATAATCAGATTTTCACGTTTTAGGACTCAATCTTAACATTTCAAGGGGGTGATCTTAAATATGCTAATTAATAACTGCAGACAATATTTTACGCTACAGAATCAGAAAAAAAAAATTTGTTTCTCAGAATAAGCATACCTTTTTTCAGTGGATTCAGATTTCCCAGCTCCAAAATATAAGGGGTAGCTGCAATATGGGAAATAACTGCGGACAAGTTTGTCAGGAGAGCTGTCCAAAGTTTGGACCCCTAATGATAAATTAAATTTTTTTGTATTTCGCTTTATTTCGAGAGCTTTTTATGCGAATTAAAACATTTTTGCACACAATTTTAAAATTCGTTTATCCAAAGATAATTCTATGAAAAATTGAACTTTTAGTAAATATTTATTATTTTTTATTGTTTTATTTAATAATGGTCGAAAAAACTTGGAATTGTAAGGTATAATAATTTTTACTTCATTCTAAAAAATGTAATTTTACGTGACAAAATACAAAATTTTGAGCGTCATCGGATGAATAGTTCCAGAGAAATTGAATTTTAAACAAGGCATATTTTTGATATTTGATTTGTCAGGAACTATTTCGACCGACTTCGCTCTAGTTTTGTATTTTTTTCATGCTAAATTACGCCCTTTAAAAGGATGTAAACAATTTTATACCTTACAATTCAAAATATTTTCAACCATTATTTAATAAAATAATAAATCTCTACTATAAGTTATATTTTTCAAGGAATTATCTTTGGATAAACGAATTTTATAAGTGTGTACAAAAACTTTTCAATTTGTTTAAAAATTTCTCTAAATATTGTGAAAAAAGCTAAATTTCCATAAGGGACAAACTTTGGACCGCTCTCCTGACCATACTGCAGATACCCCCTATTTTGGGGGGGGGGGTCAAAAAATCAAAATCCGTTGTAAAAAGGTACTTTTATTCATAAAACGTACATTTTTGTGTCTGATTTTATACCTTAAAATATTATCTGCACTAATTAATTGGCATATTTGAAATCACCCCATCGAACATTTAAGATTGAGTCCTAGAACATGAAGATCCCATCATTATATCAATAATTATTCATGATAGTCCTTTTTTTTATTTTGCACACTGTACATGCTATATATTGATATGCATATATATATTTGAGGGAGAGGAAATAAAATTTTTTAGCTTACTTATATTTTAAAATTAAATTAAAATTAATATTTTACAAATTTATGTACATTAATTTTCTTTGTAGGCTTCTTAGTCAAGTCTCAAGGCAACAACTTGGTGAACTATTGGTTGCTTTTCGAAGTTCAGCTGATTTTGTTATTGCTATTAGCTATCTACCTCCAGGTACTTTAATGTGGGCTGGTAAATTGTCAACAAAAAAGATTGCATGGTGTGGATTGCTGTCGTCAATTTTGCGCCTTGTTTTGTTTTTCAGAAATATGCCTTAAAATATTCTTCATTTTATTTGTCTAGAAAGGCTATTTTCAAGATAAATGTAATTGTTATTTAATTTGTGCAGTAAAAAATTTCTTTAATTTTATTTATTTTTCTATTATATACAGTTGTTAATATTATAATATATTTATGTATATCGGAAACTAAACAAAATGGTATGATTCGGGGAAAAAAAGGGGGTTGTGTTTTTATTTTTGTATAATATTTATTTGTACTTATGAAAATTATATATATATTTGTGTTAAAATTTATTTTACTATTGCAATCGTTGATACTGTTTATTTATTCAGAAATGTGTGTATCTTAAGTATTTCATTACAGAAATTTCTAACTTAATACTTAAAGTAGGGTAACACTGTCTGCAACAAAATAATTCGTCCTATAAATTTTTTTTGTTATAGTTTTTTTTTTCATGAGGTATATTTTGCATTTTCATTAACTAAATATATTTTATTAAAATAGTGAAGTAAAGAAACTTAAATAGTTTATTTTCAAGTTTGAATCAAATTAATAAATTTTAATTTAATATTTTTTCAAATTAGTTTTGTTTACTATTTTTTTCTTAATATTACAGAATTTTAGTGTAATTGTATATTCTCAATTTAAATTCCTTATTTACTGTACTTCTTATTCTGTAGTTTGTGAGGTTGAAGTTTTAAGACTATATTCTTAAGACTTATTTTATTTTTATTTCTTAAATGCAGACATGAACATTCTATGATTTCACTGACATTTTTTTATGCTTTGACAGCGCATACTTAGTTCAACTATTGAATAACTTGTTTTTATATTGATTAAATAAATCATAAATTTTTTTATTTGTTAGTTTTAAAAAATAATCAATATATAATGATTTGTACATTCCAGAATCATGGCAATATTTTTACTTCTGACGTAGTGCAATGTCTTGCTTACATTTATTGAATCAGGAAAGTATTTTTATCTTCTGAAGCGGTGAAATATTTTAAAAATGTGCTTAATGTTATGAATTAAATAAAAATTCCTATTTCAGTGAACTAAGGAGAATAAGTTTTAAATTTTTGAGAGTCTTGAGAAAAAATATGAGTCTTTGTTACTTCATAACCACCAAGTATAAAGACAACGACGCTGTGTAGCCAAATTAAGAAAAAATAATTTAAAAATATTATTATTAAACTATTGTTATAATTATTATATATTATTGTAAAATAAAATTTTTAAACTTTACATAAAAATATAGATTAAGAAAAAATAGAGAATATCTTTAACATTTTAAAATAAAGTTATATTATTATTATTTAAAAATAAAATTATACTCAAAACAAGAATGAAAAAGATTTGTGTATAAAATATTTTTGAATATATATATATATATATATATACACAGAAACTTAATTTCCATCATCTTATGTACAATTTGTATCAATAGTTTTTTAGTAACTGGAATCCAAAAAACTATTTTATTTGGATCAAGATGTATTGTTATAAATATTATTTATTATAGATGTCCTGTGTTTTAAAAATTGCATTAAACAATTTTATGTGTAATTGTAAATAAAGTTACTTTGATATGAATTTATTCTTGACTTTCTTTTTAATCCTAAGGCTGGCTAATAATATTGTATTATCTCCTTCATGATGTGTAGAACAAAAAATTCTTATTTAATTTTCTACTTATGAGTAACCTTAAATGTTCACTATGTGAAACACAATGAATACAAATTGAACAGTTTACAATCTATTTTACTGTTTAGTAGTTTTACTGTAAATCAAGTTTGCTATTTAGAAATCTGAAAATCGTAAGCACAGAATGGTGGGGTCTAACTGGTGGTAATTTTAAACCAAACCAAATTTACCTGTTATTCAGGTACAAAATGCTTTTAAATTTAAAACATCATAATTAAATTATGATATATTAGTAAATTTGAGCTTACATATGTTTTTATTTTTGTCAACTCATAATTTTGGAAGACAATTTTTAAGGAAAAACACACAAAAATTTATTTGTAACCTTTAGTGGGCTAAGACCTCTCAAATCTTATAAATCAGGTATTGGTTTACTTAACTTATATATAAATTATTTGGCTTAAATTAAAAAATTTTAGTTAACATACATTTTTGTACTTTTAACGCAGATTCTGAATCAAAAATCTATCAAATAAATCCTCAAGCTATATTAAAAAATCAGCTAATCAATTTCTTTATTCTTTACCAACAGCTTATACATCCAACCAGTTTCAGGTCTTCCCTGCACTGGCTCTGTTTCAGTTAAGACTGTCACCTAGGAGTATCAGTGCTTTTTGTATGCTGATAAAATTGCCTGTTTCCAGTTATTACAGGAATTATTTTTATGATATTAATGTAAAATTATATTTATTAATAAAATGATCATAAGTGTATTGATAGATTAATAAGCTACATTATAGGTTAATAAGAAATTTGGATATTCAACACATATTTTGACAGCCTTCAAAATATGTGTAACACCAGCCTTTTAGAATTGCGGGAGAAAGTCAAAAAACAAAGTGAGATTTTCACTTTTACTTTCTTCTCTTGAATCTTAAAAGAATGATAAAATGAAAGTTATATTGATATTGTAGATAAAAGTTATTGTTTTATACAGAGTTCATACATAATGTCAGGAAAAAATTCCCAGTTAAAAATAAGAATATTGCTGGGAAATGTTATACAAAATTTTGATGTGTGGATATATCAATATTTTGCTATACCCAGATTTAATCATATGTAACTTCATTTAAATAATTCCCAACATTTTAAAGAATTTCAAATAAAAGAAAGTTAATCATTACCCACTTACAAAGATTGAAAACTCTTACAATAAATTCAAAAATGAAATAAAAATAAACATGAAAGTAATATTGCATCATAATTTTTTTCTTCAAACATTTAAGCAGGGGTCTGTCCAGACATTTTGTGAAAGGTCCGAGTTGAAAGAATGTCCGTTAAGTCACATTCTTTCAACTAGGGTCCTGCTTTTATAAATTTGTGCAAATAGGGTTTGGTTATTGCAAAAAAAATTTTCAAGGAGTTTTTAAATTGCAAAGAGATACAAGATTATGCTCAGCACTGTAAAATTTCACAAATAAACAGCAATTGCTGCTTCTAAATTAGAAATGCAACATGCAAATATTTGGTATTTAGCCTATACTGCTGAATGCAGAATATTCGTTTCATACGAATAATGGAAGCGTCTGCCGAATACAAAACTTAATTCGTTTACAACCATCTTTCTTGTTTTCCCCCCTGGGAAGGGTTTATTCGATTAACAAAACAATAATGAGGATAAACAAATTTGTGAAGGGTCCATTTTTAAGTTAAAATATTTTGTAAAGGGTCCGTTAACGGACCCTTCACAAAATATCTTCTAAAATATCACCCAAATTTCCTCTAAAGAGACTAGATTTAAGTAAATAAATTTAGACAGACCCCTAATTTAAATAAATAAATTTTTATTCTTCAAGCAAAATAATTTTTCTAACTTTTATCAGAGGGTATTGATACTATATCAACTAAAGAAAAAAATTAGCAATCTAAAAATTAAAAAAGTAAAAACTGGTCTAATTAGAATTTTTACAGATTCTTAGCATTAATTTTCATATTTTTTTTGAGTTGTTTGAGCTAACTTTATAGCACTTTTGAGTTTTTCAAGTTCTTCTCGAGACATATGAACGTATGTAGATTTGATAATTATATGTAAAAAGAATTATTTCAAAGAAAATAGTTTCACAATTTTGTATATTGCAGTCAGGGGAAAAAGATTTGTGAAACTCATATGCAGTGTGCAAATGATAGTTTAAGTTGTAAAATCAGACTTTTCAGAATAAAATTTTTTTTAAACGTAATTTTAACATTTTATAAATTAGTTTTAATCAGCCACTCCAGATTTTTTAGAATTATTGATATTTTATTAAAAAGGTGTGACATTTGTGTTTGAAAAAATACTTTATTTTAATTAGATAAATAACTTTCAAACATCCTACATCAGGGTGCATAACCAGAGTTTTCAACAAAAAATAAGCGCCTTTTAAGTACTTTTTAAGCACTCAAAAAATATTTTTAATCACTTTCTAAAAAAATCTATAGGATCTGTGAAGTAATAAAATAAAATAAAAATTCTATCATTTAAAGTTCTTAATTTATAATCAGAAAATCAATAAAATTCAAAAACTTTACATAAGCATGATTGATAATTAGTTTCTGATAAATATTGCAGAGAAAATTGTGAAAATCATGAATTTTTTTGTAATTTAGAATGACAATCGATGTGGTAAAGAAAAAATATCTTTTTAAAAGATAGAAAATTAAGTACTTTTTACAAATTCCGAATAAAAAATGCACCTTTAAGGGCTTTTAAAGAACGTTAAACAAAGATAAGAACTTTTTAAAAACGCCACACGTCCTGTATATGTTTTAGGCTTAATAAAAATATTTGCATAGTAATGAGGGATCACTACAACAAATTTTTAACTCTTATAAATAAATATTAATGTTAGAAAAAAATACTGAAAATAACAGCTATTTTATTATAGACAATAAAACATCATACAACATAAATAACAAAACTTGTATTTACAAGATAAGTTAAGATTTAAGGGACAGATACATCTTGTCTTTGATCTTTCGCTTCACTAAGTCCATTTTTTTCAACACATCAGCAATTTTAGTGACAAGTTGTTGAGAGTTAACTTTAGTTTTCTTAAATTTCTGTAACAATTCAGTGGCAGTCATAGGTTTGCGAGACAAATACCGACGGATAGCTTCTTCAGTAATACCATCCAGAGAGCTGCAAAGTATGAAATTATCAATTTTGGTATCATAATAGTACAAAAAAAATTTCTAGACAAATTTAGAATTCGTTTTTAAATAAAAAATATTTTCTTGGTTTCAGAATAAATTATAAATGATAATCAAAAAAGTGGAACATCAAGAGAATGCTTTATTTTTTTCCTATTTTCTCATTCTAAATAGCATTAAACATGCAACCCAATTCTGAGTTGTTCAACTCCATATCCATGTAATTTTGAACCTAACCCAGAATACAAGGGAACTTCTGGGTAAAGCATTGGGAGACACAAGCCTTCTTAAAGAACTTTTTGATGGAACTAATCTACACATGCGTTTCATAGGGAGGAAAACATTCCACTGTTAACCCGACTGCAAAGGGATTTCAATCTATGATCCAAACAGCACTAACGATATTTTTTACGTCAGCACTGTGATCAATACGAGCATAGCAACACATTGCAATGACGACTCAGGCACACTGTTTACTCTTACAGTTGAACACATTTAAAAAGTGTGATGATGTCCAAATAAGGTGTGCAAGCCATCAAACTCAAAACACCCATTTTGCCAATGGGTAATAAATTAATCTACTGTTACAAAACAGACTGAGCCCCTGATGTAGCATTTTTTTAAAAACTTTATATAAAAGCTTTTTTAAAACTCTTTCTCTTGTCTTCCTATTCTAAAAATTCCCCAAATCTTAACTATAAAACTTTCTTTTAATAAGAAATATATATTTTTACACTGAACAATTTTTTTCAAAATTATATTCAGTCAATCTTCATTCTTTACATTATGAAAAGTGTAAGCTCTTTTCACACAGCGCCCCTGTGGGATACTATATATCAAATTTTGATGCAGAGATCTTTGCTATATCGCTAGCCTTAGAAAACCTTAAGAATAAGATCAATTACTTCACTAAAGCAGTAATTCTTGTCGACTCTAAGGCAGCTATCAAGGCAGTTGCCATAAACCATGATTCAGAAACTCATACTGTTTCAGAAATTAGAGATAATTTGATTTTTCTCGAAAATGCCAACAAAATTATTATGTTCCAGTGGATCCCTTCGCATGTGGGAATCAATGGCTATGAAAAGGCAGACAAACTAGCCAAGAAAGGGACACTCGAACCACAATGTAATAAACTGATTCCACCAGACTCCCATAAAAAACAATTTACCGAGAAACTTATGACCGACCTAAAGTGCAGCCAAGCAGTAAAGTCCATCGGAAAACCCTGGGCTAACATCCAAAACAGTTGGAAGAAATTTTGTCACAGTCCTCGGAAGGAGGCTGTGGCAAACTTCAGACTCTCAACAGGCCATGACTGCTTGGCAGAGCACATCAACATAATAGGTATCCTTCCATGTAGTGAGTTCCAAATCTGCAATTCGGGAACCATGAACTCAGACCACTTTCTTGTATGCCCTTTACTGGACAAACAATCTCAAGAGCGGGGTGATCTCTGTAAACTTTACTGGGATGCCAGAGATCCATGAACTACAGTAAAGACTACTCCTCATTCTTCACTGTATATATATATTTTTTTAACTTTGATTCTATCTTTGAGTTCTTTTTGTGTTAATATGCGTTTGTCATATGTTTTCTTTGTTTGTTAATGTAATTTTGTTCTTTTTTACTCCTTGTTTATGTCCACTTAAAGCTGAACATTGCATATGGATTAATATTTCCAATAAAGCCATATGTAACAACAACATTATGAAAAGTAAGCTTCTGATGTGAGAAATAAAACAAATTCATCATCATCATTGGCAAGACAGCCTTGTGTGAGCCTTGGCTTTCTCTAGAAAATTTCTCTATGTCATTCTCCTTGTTGCCACGTCTTCTTAGTTCAATACCCTGATTAATTTAAAATCCGCAGAAATGAAGTCCAGTCTTCAAAGTTTTGGAAGTCCTCCAGCTTTGCTGCAAATTGGTTTGTGTTTGAATATTTTATGTGTTGGACTAGTTGTATTTAAACGGCATATGTGCCCTGCAAATTTTATTCTGTTTATCTTTATAAATTTTATTACATCAATGTGCTTATAAATTTAATTTTGTCATTTGTTCTGCGCCTATAAAAATTGGAACTCTTTGACTCAGCCAAAAATGGTGTGCAGAATATTTACAGACTGCAATATCAGCTTCTTCCTTCTTTGTTAGAATCTAAGTTTCGATTTGCACGGGCACTAGACATGTAATAATTTAGTACAGTAGTAGTTTACTATCGCTTTTTATGTATGTTGATCTAAGAGCATCTAATTATACTTAATAATTTTAAAAATATTTTTATTGATATTATTCATTTTTTAAATTCTAAAATAATAAAGTTAAAATTTTCTAAACAAAATATTAGAGAATAAAAAGCCAATGCCTTACTTCACACTACTGGATCCAGACTGATTGTCTGATTTGGGTTTCTTATTTGATACCAACGATTCATTCAATTTTCGCTTAGTTCCTTTACCTAAAAGAAAGTTTTACAGATATTATATATATATGTATACATATAACGTTGTTTCCGAGTGAAAGGATAAAAACAGGTCTTAGGCAGGGAAAGAGGCCACAATATTTATTTATTAAGTATTATACAGAGAACAGTTATCAAAGTGGCACAAAATGTGCTCCTCAATAAAAGTTAGGTAAAATCTTGCAAAGCAAATCCGTAAAATGCTTCGTTTTAGGGAAAAAGGGAAATCTCAGTAATTGTAATTGGTCTATTAAATAGGTCTAGGGAAAAAGTGTTTCCCACGAGTTCGTTACAGGGATAATCGTTAAAAGGTTAATTAAAGTATACTTGAACTAAAAATAGATTAAAAGACAGGATGTGGATATTAAAGTGTAAGAAAGAGCGTTTTGTTTTGAATGATAAATTAAAAAAAGAATTTACAGAAAAAGAATAACATAAAAAGTTTAGTTGAGGCTTCATATGTTACATATATATATTTATTTAAATACAAAATACATTTTTTATGTTTCAGTATGGTTATAATTAAATTTACGAAATTATAAATGTCCTAAACTTCCCATGATTTCAATTTTACAATTCTTTTCTCCTCAAAATTCACCACAAAACTCCAATTTTCAAAGGTGAAAACAATTGAGATATTATAGAAACAACCATTTTTTCCATTTGTAAAAAGAAAACATTCATTTCATGAGAGTTAAAAAATTTAAATGGAGTATTTTGTAAAATAGATGAGAAAACTTGGGGAGTTATTTTAATAAAAAAATCTGGAATTCAGTATAATGATTCTAAAAAAATAAAACAGGGCTTGCGGGCTGAAAAATATTAATTTAAAATATTAAAAATATTAATTTTAGTATGGTATTTAATATTAATTTTAGTAATTTTAGTAGTTTTCTATTAAAAATATAAATTTTAATATGAATTATTCAACATTTCTTACCTTCAGCATTTAATCTAGTAGGAGTATTAGCTCTACTACTACTGGCACTATTATCAGAACCATTTTTCTTAGCTTGTTTCTGGGAAAAAGAAAAACATATACATTAAAGAAAATGTTAGAATGAGCTTTTTTTTTAAAAAAAAAAATTATAATAATTTTACATAATTACACAATATGTACATTTCCATTATCCTAAAAACTATTACATGAGATTTATATAAATCATAGAGATACATATGATATAACATTAGTATCAACATTCCTTCATAGGTATTCAATGCAAAATTTTTTTTATCATAAATTGGTCCTCCATTAATTTAACTTGAGTCTTTTATAAACCCACTTACTTATCTTAACATAGAATTAAATTTAATGACTAATAGGAATATTCTGCAGACCACTAAAAGAACCTACAAGGAATTATGAGGCACTGTAAATCTTACTAATTAGCCAGTATAAAACTATACTTCTTTTCAGATGAGTTTAGTAGTGCAAATATGAATCAAGTAAAAAATGTATAAAACAAAATAGGCATTTAGAAGGAACTTATAAGTCGGGTATTATAAGATTATACTAAATAAAACAAATAGCCATTAAAGTTGACTGTCAGTCACCACCTGATTACTACTTTTTTTGTTGCTAAAAATGCACTCCATGAAAATTTTTATTATTATTATTTTTTTAATAAATATGCGATTCTGATAGTTATTTTATTTCACACTTTACTTAAGAGATGACTCCTGTAATGTTTAGCATTTTTCAAAATGTTTTTTTTAAAAAAAGCCTTATATTATTTATCTCAATTTTTTTTTTTTAATGGTTTAAAATTTTCTAATTTTTAAAAATTGGCCACAATTATAAATGCAACAATAGGTCAACAGCAAAATTTCCTCATTTTGTCCTACATCTTATATTAACTTGTATTATTGTATATACAGATTGCACCATAATCAAGTAACATGCTTACCTAATTATTACTTAATAAAATTGAATTTATAGGTTTTTAAAAGAAAATTTTTGGTTTGTAGAATAAATAATACATAATTTTTTGCATTATAAACATTTACTAAAGTTGCGACTCTATACAGAAGTATTTATGAATCAACTGCAGGCCCTTTATTGAATTTGGTTACTCCCTTTTGGGTACTTTCCCACACATCTAACACAGTAAACTGTCCATTCTCTATGCTATAAAATGTCAGCTGGAAAATATTTGCCCAAATATCTTGACCAGTGTAAGAGTTAAATCACCCATACATCTACATATGAAATATTTAGGTTATGAAAAGAAAAAGAAAAATGAAAGAGAAATAAATAATTTATACAATAAATAATAAAAACTAAAATAACTTGATTTCAGAAAAAAATTATAATATTTTCCCCAAATTTTTTATTAATTAACTTATTCATATTTCCAAAATAAATTATCCAAACTTCCTACTGATATTTATTTTCTTTTAGATTTAAAACAATGCTATAGAAAATAATGTTTGTAAAAAATCATTCAGTAGAATGAAATTTGATTCAATAAGGTTTAAAGTTAAGTTAGTTACAATTGAAATTACACAGAAACAAATCTGTTTTTTTTTTTCCCTCACCTTTCTGACATATAGAAATTTTTAAGAACTATGATAGTTTCTCTCAAAAATAAAAAGTAAATTAAAATAAATCTTCCATTGAATAATAAGCGTAATCAAGATGTTAGAATTAAGAATTTGATTCACTCATCTTTAATAATGTATTAACCCCATGCCAGTGTCGCCCAAGCACAGTTCGAGCAACTACCACATGCAGTATTTGTGATGCCAGAACTGACTTTGGGCAGGAGAAAAATTAACGTACCTATTTTGTGAAGCCCAAGCAGAGTTTGTTTCTACTTTAGGATACTTAATTCACTATTTTCCTAATAGATGGCATTAGTGTTCCTAGGTTTTCACCAATTACGACTTCAGTCGAGGAAATGAAAATGTGGGTGTTGTCAGCTGCTTTATTGCAAAAATGTATGCATTAAAAATCATATTGTTGTGTTTTTATATTATATTATACTAGTTATATTATATTTAGCTTAAATTAATTTGCTCTAATTGAATAAGATGTGCGTGCAATCCATTACTTTTTTATGTGTATGTAAAAATTATAAATACAGTAGTTATTGCATTTAAATAAAAAAATTTTAATAAAACACCATTTTCTAATTTTTATAATAATATAAAGAATAAAATTAAACAGTCAGATAAATTTTCCATTTTTGGTCCATTTTTCCGAAATATATACTGTTAAAGGGTTAAGGACGAAGATATAAATTTTTATATTTAAAAACTGGTTCTTAGATTACAGTTAGAATGTAAAAAACAAACAAAAAATGCTATATAAACTTTTACCTGCATAAACACAGCATGAACTTTATTATCATCAAAGTCAGAATCTGAAGTATCAGAAGAGGAATCTCCAGACGAGTCTAAGTAACAAAAAAATAAGACTTTTAGGTGAAACATAACTATTATTAAGGTATAATTATTAGGTTGCAAAAATTAGGCAATAATATTTGAGCTTTTATGGCAGTCAAGAACTATTTTTGTATCATACAGAAACTATTATTGTGTGTCCTATATCTACAACTTAAAAAAAGTTATATAAATACTGTAAGAGACTGGCCACTAGATGGCACACTAACTTTCTTTTAGGTTTCTGTTTGTTTCCAGAGAGTAGAGTCGAGATTATAAAAATGATGATGGCGGTATTTTGATAAATGTCTTGGTTAAATTTTGTCTGTTATGTGTCGTTTTTATGTCTGTTTTGTGCATCTCTAACTTGTGAATAAATAATTTAAGATGCAAGCTACTAGTCTTTTCTGAGAAAGTTTAAAAGTCTTTACAGACTAAAAATAAATTGGTGGCAGCGTTCGGCACGAACAAATAGTCAGTGCCTTCTTAATGAAACAACTTAGGGGTAAGTACTTTTTCTATCTGAAAAGTGCCTTAGTATTTTAAAACTCAATTTTTGTATTAAAATCTGGGTAATTTAAATACTGTCATATAAATCTAAATTCACATTTTGTATTAAACGTTGGATTCTGATTTGAACGCACATGCTTATCCCTACTAAAACATTT